CACGGGGGCGCGCACGCACACCAGGGGGCGGGGCGACGCCAATTCCAGCCGCCCAGCCTCGCCGGGGCTTCGTTTAAAACAGGGAAACACTTCTTGATTCACAATTTAGGTGGACTCATTTAATGTTAACAAGGGGAAACACCCACACAGCACTTGCCACGCTCGCAGCCCCTCACAGGCTCCTCGCCGCTCGGGGCCGGCGGCTTCCTCCCAGCGCGGGGCTGGCTTGTACGCAGTTCTCTTCCTTCCCCCAGACGAAACCTTGATCTTCTGCATTTGACTGATTAGCCAGGGAAAACAAAGCAAGAAACCAGTGTCTGGAACCGAACAGGAACAGAACAGGAGCGCGGTTCTCCTTAAACACGTACATTTAAATACATTCAATCTGACACGGGTATGAAATTTGCCTGTCAACGTGTACTTCGCAGGAGAGATCTAAATTGCACTAAGGTGAATGCAGTGAACAGACTGAGCAACTGTCTGGAGCGAGCTTCGGACCAGCACGGGAAGGCGGCTCCGGCGTCCGCTCGTCGGGGGCGGCACGGGCACCCGCGCTCAGACCGGCGAAGACAGCGCGCCCGCCGCGCGGGGTCAGCAGTACTTCTGCGGGGAGACAGACAGCGCGGCGTGACTCGTCGGGCTCGGGGGCGGCCGCGCGGCCGGGGACCCCGCGGGCAGAGGGTTACCAGCCTCTCCCGAGCCCCTCTGCTCTTGCCGAGCACAGCGAGTCCGGTCTCCTCCCGCCCGACCTCCCACGAAGAGCCCTTCTCGCCAGCGTGGCGGCGCACGCCTGTAACGCCAGCACCGAGAGCCTGAGGCAGGAGGATCGCTGGGAGTTTGCCGCCAGGCCGGGCCATACGGTAAGTTGAAGGCCAGCCTCAACTATGAAGTGACACCTTGTCTCAAAAACAAACATCACCCACCCCCCCAAACAAAACGAAAACCCCAACCCCCCCAAACAAAAACAAAACAAAAAGCACCCAATGCCCCCTTTTTTGAGATAGGGTCTTCATATGTTGTTGAGGCTTGTCTCAAAACTCCTGACCTCAAGTGAGTCTCCTGCCTCAGCCTCCCAAGTAGCTGGAACTGTGGGTGCCACTGTGCCTGGCTTAATGTCCCTCTTGATTCTCGTTGTGAGAGACCACCAAGTCTTTTTTAAAAATTTTTTTCATGGTCCAGTCGGTAGGCGTGCACAGCACATTTCGTTCTTTTCTACCCCTCCCCCTCCTTCCCTCGTCTTCCATCTCCTGCTCTATCCCCCTTGTCCTATTATCCGTCTTTTATTTTGCTCTTTATTTCTACTCTGGGTTTCTTATACAAGAGAAGCCATGTGATACTTAAGCTCGTGCGTCTGACTTAATCACTTAACATTATGGTCTCAAGGTGCCTCTCTCCTCCTGCAGATGACTCCAGTGCACCCTTCGTGGCAGAGCCCTGCCCCGCTGTGTGCCATGCCACACCCTCCTTCTCAGTGCCCGCGATGGGCGCGGGCTGCCCCGAGGACTGAGCTAGCGTGAGCTGCGCTGTCATCAGCCCGGGTGCGCGCGTGTCACTGTAACGTGATGTCTGAGCTCGCGCACACAGACATACAAGGGAAGTAGCTGAGTTGAGTGAACTGTTTCGCTTTCTGAGGAATCTCCACGCTGATTTCCACAGTGGTTGTACTAACTCACACTCCCACCATGTGTACACAGGTCGTTTTGCCTGCAGCCTTGCCAGAACTGGTTACCACTGGGTTTCTCGGTGGTAGCCACTCTTTCTAAGAAAGACCCTCATGTTTCAGGTGCATTTCCCTGGTGGTCAAGACACCACCCTGGTCCCCAGGAGGGCATGTCCTCCCCGGCTTCCGCGAACCAAGCGCACCTGGCTGGTCTCCGCTGCGCACACTGCACGCGGGGACCCGACGCCAAGGCCGCGGTGCGGGAGCAGGGGCGTGCTCCCTTGGCGTGTGAGCACACGGGGGGGGGGGTTCCTCGGCTACGGACCGCCCCCCTCGAGCTCTCGTTCATCCGGCAATACCGAGTAGCTGCTGCGTGTCAGCACTGGCGCTTTCCTAAGCTATTCCTGGTCGCCGACGTCACAGGCCTGCTGAGTGACAAGGCGGGTAAGTAACACTGTGACGTGAGATCTGCCGGGGGGGACAGCGGGCCGTGGGGATGCAGGGCAGAGGGCTTTACACGCTCAATCTTAGCGCATCAAGGCCACGGACAAGTTAGAGCGGAAGCCAGGCCCGCAGAATCTGTTTTATCTTAGTACCCCAAAGGACAGTTCTAGGGAAACTATCGCCGGCTTAAATTCTACTGACCATACATAGAATTATATTAACCCCTGGCTAGATTTATAGTTCTCACGTTTAAAACATTAGCTTAGAATCTGAGTGATTATATTTCTCCTTAGAGAAGAACATTAAATGTACTTTATAACATAAACCTGAATATATATTTATTTCTAGCTGTGTCACAGGCTTTTTTGTGTGTGAGAAAGGGTCTTGCTATGTAGCGCAGGCTGGTTTTGAACTTGCCTATATAGCCCAGGCTGGCCTTGAACTTGTGGTGATCCTCCTGCCTCAGCCTCCTGAGTGCTGGGATTATAGACATGAACCACCATGTCCGGCCATCACACAATTTCATATCAAAATAGTCCATGGCTGATTAACATTTTTTTTTAGTTTTTCAATTTTTCAGTTAGTTCAGAAAAATAACTTTTTTTTTTTTGTCTTTTTGAGACAGGGTCTCACTATACAGTTTAGGCTGGCCTTGAGCTCACTTTAGAGTCCAGGCTGGCCTCAAACTTGCAATGATCCTCCTGCCTCAGCCTCCAAGGTGCTGGGATTACTGGAGTGTGCTACCACGCCCTGCCAGAAAAAGAATTCTAGTGACCTACATTTATACCCTTTGTTTACAAGGCTTAAAAACTTGAAGGCAAGCTGAGTGTGGTGGTGCATGCCTGTAACCCCAGCACTTGGAAGGCTGAGGCAGGAAGATTGCTGTGAGTTCGAGGCCAGATTGTGGTACATAACAAGACCCTATCTCTCTCTTTTTTTCTGTCTTTTTGAGACAAGGTCTCACGATGTGGTTCAGGTTGGCCTTGAGCTCACTTTGTATCCCTGGCTGGTCTTGATCTCGCAACAATCCTCCTGCCTCAGCTTCCTGAGTGCTGGGATTACAGACGTGGGCTACCACGCCCGGCAAGACCCTATCTCAAAAAAAAAAAAAAAAAAAAAAAGAGGCTGAACCTCTACTGTCTGCCCTGCAGGGTTTATTACTAAGTTTCTTTTCTTTTGGGTCTAAGTAAAAAGAAGAGAATGGCATCACAGGAAGCAACTTACTCCCTCTGGCCTTCTCCAGGGCTACCTGCATGAGCCTTCCTGTTGCGGGGCAGGTGATGGGGTACAGGGGTCAAGGAGGACATGTCTGCTTGGGTTCACTTCCTGGTGGTGTTAGATCTCAGGCAAATCCCGAAACCTTCCAAACAGGTTCTCCCGGATGGCATGGCGTGGTCTGAGTCTCAGTGACATTATATACACTGGTTGTCTTTATATTTTAAAGGTAGAATAACGGACCCTCTACATGTTCTGCTTTAGAGTAGGCAAGTCCGTGCTTAGAGATAATAACCTGCCAGCAGAAAAAAGGACTGCGGCAGGGCAACTCCCACAGAAGACACGACCGGCCTTGTGCCCGCCAGGGCGCTGGGTCGCAGCCGAGCGGGGTAGAGCAGCGGTTTGATCTCAGGGATGGGCTTAGCAGGGGTGGATCCGGGCTGCGGACAGGAGGCAGCCTGGTCTCCCCGATGTACTTTTCTCCAGAGGTATGTGCTCGGAGCTCGGAGCTTGGGGTGCAATGGGCTGGCTTCTGGGAGAATTCTTCACCAACGTCACGGTCCCTGTCCTTCGGGAGGAGCTCCCAGGTTTCAGACCTGGGCCTCTGTCACAGCCACTGCTGTGTCACCACACTACTGTGTGGGGAACGGGTGGAACGGAAGGCGTATTCCAAGACTGCATATATCTCACACAGGGTCTGTTCCTGTTTCTGCGGGACTTGCTTTGTCAGTATTTGAGCAGGTTTAAACCATACACGTCCGTTTTGTACACCTGAGCGCTACACCATCTGGATGTGTGCAGGTAATAATCTCCAGGGTTCCCACCCACAGCCAGCATCTCTAACGTCCACAGCTGTGGTTGGGAAAAACCAGAGAAGCCACATGGAGAAAATTAGCACAATGTTTAAATTAAAACATTTATGCTGTTTCTAAACTTGAATGCTCATGTATTTATTGGGTATTGGAGAGTGAACCCAGGGCTTTCACAATGAGCTACATCCCTACTCCTTTTTAAATTCTGAGACGGAGTCTCACAAATTGCTCAGGTGCCTAGGCTGGGCTTGAACTTGTGATCTTCCTTCTCAGCCTCCCAGAGGGCTGGGATTACAGGCGCATGCCACCACTCCTGGCTTTGAACGCTCAGATTGACAAGACCATCCAAGATCCACCTTTCCAAGGAAATTCAACACTGACCCTATGTTTTGCCCACTGGGGCAGAGTTTTAAGAAAGAGCTGAGTCCTGGGGGCTCCGACCCTTCCCTTAAGAGGCTGCGCAAGGCCCTGCCCGGACACTGAGCTGCTCAGAGCCCTCGCTGTGACGCAGCTGCAGCCGGGCACGCGCGCCCGGCGGGCAGTAAATCCTCGTTAGCCCTGGCTCCAAGGCCTGGGCAGGCCTGGTGATCCTCTCTGCAGAACAAGGGTTTCAGGTGTAGCGGGCACACAATACGTAAGACTGTGGCCTAAACACGGTGAGACGGAAACACGGGCCCAAGGGAGAGAGGAAGAGTAATTCCTCTCAGCCTAAAAGCCCAACATCGAAATTCAGAAAAAGCAACAACAGTTCAAAGATGGCTCTAATACAACTAACTCTGCGCTATCGTAGTTTTGCTCTGGTCTAGTACCATTTCAGTGCAAATTTAGGGTTCTTCATTCATGTGCCCCCATCAGATCAGTTAAAACAAGCTCAGAGAAAGGGTCAGCCTCTCAGAAGCACTGCACGCCAAGAAAGTCTGGAGACCCTCTGCAACTCTCTCCGAGCTGCCAGCTGGTAATCGAGGCTCGCCTGCGCGCGGGGCCGCACGCTCGCTCACGCCGCGCGCCCGCGCTCCCTGCCGCGCTCCTTACCCGCGACGCGTCTCCCTCCTGCTTGATCATGTCCATCCCAGGCAGCGCGTTTGGAAAAAGGCTGCCTCCCCTCAGAGCAGGGTCGGTTACCTGCGGGCAACAAGACACGGGGATGCGACGTTGGAGGGCGCCGGCGGACAGCAGCCGCCCTCTCGCTCTTGCTCTGGGAGCTCACAGCAGCGGGAAGCGGGCGTGGACAGCCGCTTTGTGCTAGCGCTCCTCCAAGTGAAATCCTATTCGCCTTCTGTGCAGAAATCAAATTCAACACAGACAGAAATACTGGAAGCATTTTGATGCCTGCTCATTTTCTTGGCGGGTTTAAATTAGACCAGTGACTCACACTTGAAACTGAGTAGTCACTTGAGAGGCTTGAAATCTTCGCTATTTAAGGACGTTATTAATTAGCAAGAAAAAGTGTGAATGCCCCAAATGGTGCTGGATTCTGTGAATTTACTCTGACCAAGCAAACCATGGTTAACAACTGCATATTTCCTTTACAAATTACAAAGTACACGTACATCTGCTAATAGAGAATGATTTCTATCAGATGACACTACAGTTGTGCTTCTCGGGGCTTCCAGATTCCCCGAAAGTTGAAAAGGGGCTCGGGTGTGGCTCAGTGTGAGGGCCTGGGTTCAATCCCCAGCACCACCACCCTCACCAAACACAAGAAAGAAAAAAGGAAAGAAAGCGAGCACCACGCTGCTTGCGGTGGGCTGCACGGGGACGGCCGCATCAGGCGCGCCAGGAGCCCACCCTGCCCGCCCCGCTCCCGAGCAAGAGCGCGGAGGCCCTGCTGCTGAGTCCCTGAGGAGACGAGTGTCAGCTCTCCACTTTTACTTCACGTGAACTCACTGAGGATCAGAGGAGAACGATCAGCATTCTGGGGCATTAAAAAAAAAGATGTTCTACACTGTGAGATCTTGTCTCAAAACACCAAGCCAAACCAGACTAAAACAAAAGATACTCTGTAAATGCCACGTGAAAATTATTAACCCACAGCTTCACCGGGGTCAGCTCGTTCTGCGTCCCAGGCTGGCTGTTCACCGACTTCGGGGCTTTGGTCTCCGCGCCGCCTAGTACGGCTGGTGCACAATGAGGACAGCAACATCGTTTCTCAGTTTTAAAAAGTTACCAAAGAAAATCACGGCACCCACATTCCAGTAAGTAAAGAGACGGGACGTCACCTGTGCTTATCTCTGCGTGACAGATCTCTGGCCCTGGCTTTATGGCTGCGTTTTTTTTTTTTTTTTTTTTGAGACAAGGTCTCACTATGCATTTCAGACTGGACTGGAACTGAACGCGTAGCCTAGGCTGGCCTCGAACTCCCAGTGGTCCTCCTGCCTCAGCCTCCGGAGTGCTGGGATTATAGGTGTGTACCACCATGCCTGGCTTCATCTGGTTTTACATTTGTAAAAAAAGCCAGTTCTTGAACTACAAACCCCAAATAAAGCTATGCAAACTGTCACTCATCATCCCATTTTTAGAGATTCACTCTTCTTATTTGTTTATTTACTTATTAAGACAGGGTCTCACTATGTAGTTCAGGCTGGCCTTGAACTCATGGAGATCCTCCTGCCTCAGCTTCCTGAGTGCTGGGATTACAGGAGTACACCACCACACCAGGTCTAGAAATGCATTTTAGATATTACTAAATTCCCCAAATAAAAGAAAAATGTACCTGATGTGAAAGTTAAGAAATATTTTTAGAAATTTTTCAGCAGTTAGGTATCCTTTCATGTTTATTTCCTCATTAACAAGTTTGTTAATCTCACTGAAAGGTGAAAAAAACTCTCAAAAACAGTGTGGGAACTGAGGGCAGACACCGAAAGATGCAGCCAGCGCAGAGAGACAGAGGGCAGACACCAGTCGCTTCTGCTGTGCTCACCGGCTCGGGCCCCATGGAGGGCAGCCCCGATGTAGGCACGGAGGTCACTGAGGTCATGCTGATCTGTCCCGTCATCTGGTTCATGTTGCTCATGCCGCCCGCGTTGGTCGCCATGGACACACTGATGTTCATGTTGTTACCGTACATGCTGGTGTTTGCCTGCTGCCCGAAGTGCGGTGGGGACTGCTGCGGAAACATGCTGGGGCAGAGGGAGAGAAGAGACACGCGCTCGCGCCTGCAGCAGCATGAGCCCTGCCTCTCAGGCATCTGCTTCCCGCGAACAGCTCTGCACTGCAGGAACCCAGGCGGTGCAGCCAGAAAGGGGCACGCGGCGAGCCAGGGACTGCTCCCTACGGCAGGGCGGCTACACGGTCCTCCTCCTGCCACCGCGAGGGTCAGAGCCCACCCCGTCTCCCGGCAGCGCGGGGGCAGCTCCGTGCTTGCTTCTGTCGCAGGCACGGACACAGGCCGTTTCTGCCTCACTGCCTTCTACAGTGGTTTCTAGGACAAGTTAGCGCTCAGAGGTGTTCCTGTTCCTCCAAAGGAAGAGGTACACTGCTAAGTTCTTGTGTATTTCTGGTGACTTCTGCCCCGGGAAGAGTAAGCTGGATTACTTAGAGCTCACCTGACTCTGGGTGCTTAAACAAATACGTTTAAAAATACATGAAAGAAATAGGCAATCTACAGGAAGTTTCCTTGCTGATTACTTATACAAAGAGGCACGGCGTTACCTGTTCCCACCCATGCTCCCCTGGGCCCATCCATTCATGTCTGCGGGCGCCTGGTAGGCGGGGGTGGCCTGAGACTGCTGCATCATGGGGCTCTGCGTGTGCGCCATGCGGGGCGACATCAGGGGGCTCTGAGGAGTCGTAGCCCCAGTGAAGCCTGGGTCAGGTTGCTGACTTATTCCTAAAGAAACAGAACAGAAACCCACAGAAACTGTTAGTTTCACAGCCACACGCAAGAAAAAGAACGTTCTAAACTAAGTACATACAGAAAGTGAGCTTCAAACATATAGTCCATGTGCTGATTAATTACATAACTTTAAAGATTCCAAGCTAAGATAAAATGTATCAAAAAGCTGGACATGGTGGTACCAGCCTATAATCCCAACATCCTAGGAGGCTGAGGCAGGAGGATTACAAATTTGAGCCTAGTCTGGGCAATTTAGCAAGAACCTAGCTCAAAATGGCCGGGTGTGGTGGTGCACACCTGCAGTCCCAGTACTTGGATCACTATGCGTTCAAGGCCAGCCTGCACTACACAGCAAGACCCCGTCTGAAAATTTAAAAGAAGAGGGGGTAGGGTGTGCTAAGGACACACCCTAGCACAGTGCACAGGCCTTGGGTTCAAGCCCCAGTACAAAAACAAAAAAGAAAGAAATCCCCCCACTTCTGACTCTCTACACTACGTCAGTGGGGGCCTAAGACTCACGCGGACCACTGTGGTTAGAGATAGAACAAACGTTCTTTCCTATAATCCCTCTCCAGAGCAAGAACTGGTCAACTATGTATCCTTCTTTTGACTTGAAGTAGTCAAAATCTTTGAATTAACAATCATTACAACTGGATTGTGTAAAGTGGATTAAAGTTCAACTATATTCCAAAAGACAACACATGAATTTGGTGGGGGGGTAACCGGGAATCAAAACCAGGACCTCACACTTAGCAGGCAGGCGCTGTACCACTGAGCTAAATCCCCAGCATAGATTTTTCTTTTTTTTTCTTTTTGAGACAGTTCTCACCAGGCTGACCTTGAACTCACTTCTTTAGCCCAGGTAGGCCTTGAACTCACAGCGATCCTCCTGCCTCAGACTCCCATTACTAGGATTATAGATGTGTGCCACGCCTGGCTACTAATAAATTTTTCCTTAAATCACTCCATGGTGAATTTTTTTTTTTTTTTTTTTTTTTTCAATACCAGGTATATAACCCATGACCTCTGCCAGTATTTTTTTTTTGTGGTACCGGGGATTGAACTCACGACCTTGTGCTTGCCAGGCAGGAGCTTATGCCACGGAGCTATATCCCCAGCCCAATTTTTTTTTTTTCCCCTGGTACAGGTAATCGAACTCACGACCTTGCGCTTGCCAGGCAGGCGCTGTGCCACTGACCTAAATCCCCAGCCCAGTATTTTTTGTTTTTGAGACAGGGTCTCACTTTGTAGCCCAGGCTGGCCTCAAACTCATAGTGATCCTCCTACCTAACCCCCTCAAGTGCTGAGATTACAGGCGTGCGCCACCATGCCTGGCCAGTATTTTTTTTTTAAACTAAAAAACATGTTTTGTTTTGCAGTACCAGGGAGTAAACCAGGTTTTCACACATGCAGGGAAAGTACTCTACCACTGAGCTACACCTTCAGCCTTTCTGCTTTTTAAAATTTTACTGTAAGACGGGCTCTCCCTAAATTGACTAGGCTCGCCTTGAATTTGGAGTTCTCCTGCTTTATCTTCTCCCATAGCTGGGATTACAGGTGTTACCACTGCACTTGGCTGAAATGGATGCATTTAAAAAATATGTGACTGTATTCACGTTTATCTTGTTTTGCCTTTAAGAAGGGTTCCATAGTACTTTAGTGCTGTCCAAGCATAGTAAGAATAAGGAAAAAAATTCCTGTAGGGCTGGGGATCTTCCTCAGTGGCTCAGCGCCTGCCTGGCAAGGGCCAGGTCCTGAGTTCCACTCTTAGTACAAAAAAAAAAAAAAAAATTCAATGTATACTTCTAGTTCAGTTTCAAGACAAATGGCATTTACACTACAAGGAAAGAAAGGCCTTTCCATCATACTTGAGGAAAGGAGCTAGAAAAGAAAGGTAACCTCTGAGAATATTCTTGGGGTAGCATTACATTCATTTTTGCCTAAGCCTTGTCAAACATGCATATTTAATCGGTACTTAAATTAGCTACAAAAAAAAGTTTAAGATCATGCAGAAAAAAGCTGCACATTATTTTTGTTTCTTTAAAGAAATTTAGTCAACATAAAGACTACATAGTTGTTTACAGGTAACTCAGACAAGGGTAGGGAATATTAACAAAAGCGCTCACATTTATCAATACTTCAACTATCAATTAAACACGACTTGCACACAAACATTAGTGTTTATGACATTATACACTGAGTAGGTCATCTCTTAAGACTGACGGGAAACAACAAATCAATGTGAAGAAAACTAAGAGCTCTCCCATGGTGGTTTCCACCACACTTCTCAAGAATCATCTATTCATGAAATCTTGCATACAATCTTTTTTTGAGACAGGTCATGCTGTGTAGTTCAGGCTGGCCTTGAGTTCACTGTATAGCCCAGGCTGGCCTCGAACTCACAGCAATCCTCCTGCGTCGGCTTCCCAAGTGCTGGGATTACAGCACGCCTGGCTCATAATAGTCTTTAAAGTCTTTATTTTTCTAAAGTCATACAATATCTAATATTTAAATTTATGTTTTTCAATATTTTCTGCCTACTGATTTGTTAGAGTCAGACTCAGAGGCGTTCAGATATAAAGGTATATGTGCCTGCACTCACAGACACTGACAAGAACTGTTTCCACACTCCACACACAACCGGTGCACACCTTGTGCACTCGCACGCTTACTTCGGGCACTCTTAAGTAAGGCCTGCGCTCAGAGCAGAGGAGAGCCTGAGCTGAGAGCCTGGAAGGCGCTGTGCTGGACGCAGAACTCCTGCCAGGCCCCAGCTGTCCTCCCAGGCTTCCTATCCTCCCCGGTGAGCCAGATTCATCGGGGAGCCACGCGAAGAGCTGAGAGGGAGCAGCTGTGGCCCAGGGCTGGGGGCCCCGGGGAGAAAGGACTGGGAGGCGGAGGGGGTGTAAGTCCAGTACCGTAGTTTGGAGGAAATGGAAACTGCTGGGCATTTGCCTGGGGGATCCGGGGGTTGCTCATGGTTGCCGGGATGCCACTAGGAGCCACCATGCTCGGGGTCATATTCAACCCTTGTCCTCTCATCATCAGAGTTCGCTGCTGGACTTGCTGCTGCTGGTGCATCTGTCTCTGTCGGAGATGCTGGTTCAGGATTTCCCTCTGTCTCTGGGCCAGCATCTGAGCGTTAATAGGTGCCTGAAATCGAGGGTAACGAAGGGAGGAGAGCGTTGGGGTGGGCACAGGTTAGACTCGGTAACGAATGGCACTGTCCGTGTGGCTGCCTGGAAATAAAACTACACCGCGGGAGCTGCTCGGTGAAACGAGGGGAGATCTGGCACGGGAGCCTCTAGGTGCCACACCCACGGTGACTGAAACTCTGCCGGGACTTAGCAGGTGAGTTCAGGGTTAATTTCACTCATTTTGTGAGGACACAGACAAACTAACAGTCCTTTCTCTAAGACTCTCATATAAACCCTGAGGACAGTAGCTTAGACTCTCAGGGACATTCAAATCTTTTTTTTTTTTGTCTTTTTGAGACAGGGTCTTGCTACACAGTTCAGGCTGGCCTTGAGCTCACTTTGTAGCCCAGGCTGGTCTCGAACTCAAAACAATCCTCCTGTCTCGGCCTCCCGAGTGCTGGAATTACAGGCATGCGCCACCATGTTGGGCTAGGGACATGCAAATCTAAAGAGAACAAAATCACTGTGTGACCTGGGGCACTTCAGAAGCAGCTGAGCAAAGACAGGTGGAAAGGAGGTGTAGCAGGGCAGAGGGGCACGTAAAATAGGGAGGCCAGGAGAGACAGGTGAGGAGGGAGCGGAGAAAGATGGATGAAGGAACAGCTCTCTGAGCTTGTTGTCAGTGAGAGATGTGAGGCTGTTTATGGGTCCTCAGAGGACAGTCAGTCTCCTTATCTGTCACTTCCACAGGTACGAAGTCACCTACATGCTAAAACTTATTTATACCTCTGCAGTCAATGCTCAGGGCGCCGCCATGCGCATCATGGACCAGAAGCACAGGGCCCCACGCACGCTGCCGAGGTTGGACAAGGCAGCGTCTGCCTCCTTTTCCGTTTTCTCACGCTGCAGACAAGGGCCCTTTGTGGGCTACCTGGTTCCATGTTTTTCACATCAGTGCGCTTCGTGCTGGCGATCTCACTGTCTACAGTGGGCCCAGTGCAGTGCCGCAGCGCTGTTCGGCGTTCCTACGTGCAAAGCCGTGAGGTGCTTGCGGAGGGCACATGGTGTCAGCCACGTGTCCTTCAGGCCTGGGCTACGCTTCCTGGCTGCCGAGTTTGGTGTAAATGAGTCAATACTGTACGTGATGTCTTCGGACAGAAACTTACACGAAACAAGGCTGCGCACTGACTGGGCTGATGAGAATGCTGGGAGCCGAGGCTCGCAGAAACCTACGCCTGAAGCGACAGTTTAACATCCTCCAGTTCAGTGTCTGCAGCAGCTTTGCAACAATAATCAGCTGCGTCCGGCAGTAAGACCACAGTCTTAAAAGGGAGCGAAGGAAGTGAGAGGCTGGAGACAGAGACAGCCGGGCGGTGGGAGCCAGAGGGTTGATCTGGAAATGGCAGCCCACCAAGTCACTGTCCTCAGGCCAGTGGTGGCGAGCCTATGGCACGCGTGTTATTTTTTCTAATCTATTCTTTTTTTTGCGGTGTGGGGGGGGGCGTGTTTCCGGTACCGGGAATCGAACTCGCAACCTCACGCTTGCCAGGCAGGCGCTGTGCCGCTGCGCTGAATCCCCAGCCCCGGTTTTCTCTAATCTAAACCTTCAGCATTCGGGTTTAACTGCAGAGCTGGCACTTTGTGACACGTAAGGGAGCTTGGGTTGCGGTTTGGGCACTCGTCTCTAAAGGGTTCTCGCTCACGGACGTGGGGTATTCGGAGGAAGAAGTGGTAAGAGGAGGCAAAGGCTACGGTAAGAGCTGAGACTGCTCGGCCCCTTACCTGGGTAGGTACTCCTGGCCTCAGAGTCAAGTTCACATTTGAGACATTGCTGATTTGATTCATAAGAGGCTGGCGATTCTAAACACATACACGAAGGAGTCAATACATTTTCCAACCACACACCTTCCCCACGCACCTGCCCTCCCCAACTAAGGCGTGCCCACTGCTGGGTGCCTGCTGTCTCACATTCCTTCCCGAGGTGCCCGCCCTCCAGCCCTGGCTCTCCAGGCCCCGCTGCGTAGCTTACCTGCTGTGCTTGGAGGCGGTGCTGGAGCTGAAGTCTCAGTTGGTTGGGCTGGTTCTGCACCAGGCCCGTGGGCCGGAGGCCCGGTCTGGGCTGCATGCGGAGTGTGGCATAGCTTGGCCGCTGTCCCACGGTGTGGAAGTTTGGGTCTTGCATGGGTGTATAGCTACCCTGGGCTACCTGTGCCTGAGATGCGTACTGCTGCGGGAAAACAGGTGCCTTCTGCTCCAGCATGATGTTGGAATCCTGACTTGAGAACTGGTCCGGGTCTACCGCTTGGCTCTGAAAAGAAAGCCCCCAAATAACCAGCAAATTAAGTCACTAAGAGCAGCAGAAAACGACACGGCTGTTTTCCCTCACTAATACGCTTGAAAATTTTTGTGCACTTCCTGCACAAAGGTATTTAGCTGGATTCGACTTTTCTTCCTAGAAAATGCCTCTCTGTTCAACAGACCCAGTTACATAAGGAAAGAGGCGGGGTCGGGCCCGACTCCCCAGAGCAGGGGAGAGATGGGCTGTGCGCACAGGAATGCCTCCCGTGCACGCAGGCCAGTCAGAGCCCAGCCGGACCTCAGGACACAAACGTCCCCTCCAAGTGCTGGGTCTCCTGACTATCGCTCACGCCTACATGAATCACCCTAATGAGACAAGTCCCGGCACCAGGCTGGGATTCTCCACTTTGCAGATAACAAAACAGATTTGAGACACGAAGCAAGCCGTCGGAACCCCTCTGGCTGGCGTGGGGTGGGTTTCAATCCACTCTGTGACTTGGCCAGCTGCTAGCCAGCATGCCATGCCGTTTGCCCGACTCCTCTCTGCGGCTGCCAGAATTTCCTGCGTGCTCCACATTCTGCCACCATCCACTACTACCTGTGAGACATACTGAATCTGTTCGTCACTTCCTGACTTCCTCTATCTATCTGGTCCACAACGCAGAAAATTCAGAACTTCTTGGGGGACAGCTGCAGACTCGGGTGGCCCTGAATGTCTGTGTGTGGGGAGGAGAAGTATCTCCTCTTCCTTCTCCTGTTTCTAGGAGTAACTGCTACAGATCCGAGGGCACTCAGGAAAAACGCCAGCAGCAGTAACACCTCTCAAGCTTTTTTTTTTTTGTGTGTGTGTAATATCGTTCTAGTGCTTCCTCTAATCAGCCTGCCTATGCAGTCCCAGGGCCACACCAGACCCTGGAGTTAGATCAGCACTGCCCCGTGGTCAGCCTGCAGGAGGCACGGGCCCACCGCCCTTCCCGGGACGATTTCAGATGTGTGGATAGGGCCTCAGCAGGGGAGTGCATTCACTGTTACTGTCTCCAGAATTTTGAACATCTGCCCATCTTTAGCACAGAAAAATTCTAAGCAGTTTCCATGTTTAAGACAATACATGCCGGGCATGGTGCTGCACGCCTGTAATCCCAGCACTTGCGAGGCTGAGGTAGGAGGGTCAGCGTGAGCTCAAGGCCATCCTGGGCTACAAAGGTGAGCTCAGGGCCAGCCTGAGCTACACTGCACAGTGAGACCCTGTCTCAAAAAGACAACAAAACAAAAAATGTAAGAAAACACAACATAAAACCCCCCAAAACCCACGCTCCCAACTCTCACACACACAAATGAAGTCCACGGCATGCTGTACCTCCCGACCGCACCTGACAGCCCCTGTTGTACGGTTAAGTGTAATACACTAATACCGCAGTGACGGAGCTGATGGGGCAAGTAGAAGAAACTCAAATAAATGAAGAGACTGAAATATTATTTATGATAGGACATGAGTTTTAATTAAAAAAAGGTTACATGTCCCTCCGTGACTCCAAGGACACTCTGAAATGTCCCCAGACAACCTCAAGGATAAACGTATCAGATGCTAAGCTCTAGCTGACACTATAAGCTGACCAGTCACACAGAATTTTACTTCTATTTTGTGGAGCTAGGAATGGAAGACAGGGTCTCTAGCCCAGTGTTTTCCTGTTTTACTTTGAGACGGGGCTTGCTGAGCGGCGCAGGCTTAGTCCCTTGCTGACAGCCTCCAGCCTCAGCCCCCACGGGAGCCGAGGTTACGGGCAGGAGCCACCCCGCCCCGCTTACACAGGAAGCAGTTAACCTCTATTTTCCCTCCCAGGTTTATTTCAGGTTATATCATGTAACCTTCAGTCATTTCTTTCCATTCTGCTCTTTTCAACATGAATCAACAAGTCTGAGCACTCCCACTTATGTCTGCCGCGTGTGGAATTATGACGAGACTATTTTTAATACCTCAGAGAAGTCTCCGGTGCCTCTGCGTCACCTTTCTCAGACTTGGTGACACGCCAGAGGTCCGAGAAGTAGACCAGACTTGGGAAGAAGGAAGGAAGATGATTCATGCGGGGTGAAGAGGAGAGGACGGAGTGCCGCGGGCTTTTCCAGGCCCTTCCTCCCGCAGCGACCCGGGGCGCACTGCTTCCCGAGCAGGCGGCGTGCGGCCAGACTCGGACACGGCACTACTGTGGGTTTTAGGAGACTGGCTTGGTAATCACATCACTGCTATCAACTATTTGCAAAGCAGAAAATTACTTTTTAGAAAGTAACCGACTAGTTACCAGGAGGAGGAAAGCTAAATAAGCTAAGCTTAGTTAACATTTTCATATTCCCATTTGTATCCTTAAAATGACCTCTGCGAACCAAGCACCCCTTTAGCACCGGCAGCTTCCTGCCCGGCCCGCAGCGGGAAGAGCACGGTCTACGGCCAGGCTCAGGCCGGCTCTGGCTCTGGGAAGGGTCTAGGCCACGGGCAGCAGGGCTCCTCTGGTCGCTGTCCCTGCTCCTCGCGTGCCCCGCTCGTCAGCAAGGGTGAAGGGTGGGCTTCAGGTTCTGCCCTTTCGCCCCGGTAACCTATCAGCATGAACGCTCCTTCTCAGGCTTTTCCTTCTCTGACAGAAGTTTACACAAGAGTAACAGGACTAGGAGCGAGAACAAGGCCAGCCTGTCAGGTCAAAGTATTCTATGCAGCAAACCGCAGATCACCTGGAACACCTTTGTGCCCGTGACAGTGCACAGTCCCTCGCCGCCCCTGTGCCTACCTGGCTGACCAGCTCAGGTATCCCCAAGGCTCTATCGATCTCCTCGAGGCCATCAAAGTTCCGTAAGGCCAGGTAGAGCTGGTCCAGCAGAGCTCCCTCGTCACTCGGGGACTCCGCCGCAGGATGTGGGCACAGCAGGCCGTCAGGAGAGCTGCTAAACGGCTGCCTGCAAAGAGACGGACCTCAGCTTGGGCTGACGGAAAAGCCAGCTGACTTGTAGTGTCTCCGTAACAAGCTCCCGTACCGGCCCAACACAGGAAACCAACCATCTAAAGTAAGAGATAGTCTGCCTGTTACAGCCCAGCCGTACGTCGAGGCCTGGGCCGTGTGACCTGTTTCCACTGCCCCACTTCACAGCTCTTAAAGCTGAGGCTTAGCTTAGATCAAAGCGTGTGCTGGCTATTACCAAGGCGATGCCCCGGGCCCGTCTGTCCATTCGCTCCTACAAACGTGCATCAATACCTCGATACTGGAAGGAAGGAAAGACTTTTCTGAACTTTAGCAGCAGCAGGAGCCGACGATGAATCACATGACAGACACCGAAAACTTTTGGCAGCGTAAGAACAACATTCAGGGCCGGGGATGCAGTTCAGCAGCATAAGTGCCTGCCTGGCAAGCCTGAGGTCATGAGTTTGATTCCTGGTACCACAAAAAAAAGAACTGCATTCGTTGTCCTGAACTCCGCTGTGGTTAGATTACACGTGACTGAGCTGCTAGGAAATGTTCTTTTTCTTTTACAGTGCTGGGGACAGAACCCAGAGTCTTATGCATACCAGATGCACTCTGCCCCTGGGCTGCACCCCCAGCCAGGAAGTTCTTTAGTCATGCATAAGCAGAACTTACAAACATTTTTAAAGCCCTCAAGGGATATAGCTATTAGCCTTCCCCATTTAGACACATAAGAAAAGTGGATCATGAACATGTAAATTACAGTTGTTACATAAGGTAATAGGTGATAACATCATAACACTATAATTTCCACGGTATAAAAACTCATTTAAATTACCTGACAAATTAGAGATTTTTTGGCACCAGGAATTAAACTCAGGACCTCAGGGGCTGGGGATTTAGCTCAGCGGCAAAGCGCCTGCCTGGCAAGCGCAAGGTCGTGAGTTCAGCTCCCGATACCAGAGAAAAACCAAAACCAAACCAAACCAAAACAAAACAAAAAACTCAGGACCTCAAATTTGCCAGGCAGGTGTGTGCCACTGAGCTATATCCTTGACTCCTTAGAGGAGATTTATTTATTTATGTATTTTATTTTTTTGGTTTTTTTCCGGTACCGAGAATTGAACTCACGACCTCATGCTTGCCAGGCAGGCGCTGTGCTGAGCTAAACCTGCAGCCTCCCTTAGAGGAGATTTAAAAAAGTTTCTGAGTTACTCTAATACCAAAAAGGGAAATGATACTTGTATTTTACTAAAAGTCTGTTGCACAGCCTTAGAGCTAGTAGATTTTGTTTTGGAGAAAATGACAGCTTACAGGTAAGCAAATTCATTCTTAACCAGCCAGAGTAACCTCATCAAGAGCTGAGCTAGCTCACGCTGCCTTCTCAGGTGACCTCATGATATCTGAGCCAGAACCTTGAAGCACTGAAATGCAGAGCAGTGAAGCCAACGAGTTCCAGGGACAGTGAAGGGCCTCGGCACAGCCTCTGTTCTCCCTCCAGGCATGATATTTGTAAGAAAAAACCGACCGAGTGTTCCACACCTTACCTACTGTCCCCAGCTCCAAGCTGTGCTCCCACTGCCTCCGAGGCACTGCCACACGGCTACCAGTGCCACACAGGAGTCCCGTGGAGCCTCTGGTGCCCGCCCTGCCCTCTTGTCATTGCCGCTGGCTCCTGGGACAACGATGCTAGCTGAGCTTGCCCTGTGCGCTACCCGCCCGCCCCCCACTTCTCTGCCCCGGCTACGCTCCCCTCTTCCATGAACATTCCAAGCTCAGCTGCGGTCAGGTTACCGCTCTCCTCTACTTCAACAGTGGAAGGAAGGGCCGGGGATACACTCAGCGGCACAAGCGCCTGCCTGGCAAGTGCAAGGTCCTGAATTCGATTCTTGGTACCAAAAAAAGAGAAAGAAAAAAAAAAAAGTGGAAGGAAGGCACAGCAACTTGGAGGAGAAGTTATTTTCTTACATTCTGGACAGTTATAATTTCAATCTTGGTGGCATAAATAATAAACTAGCAGAAAACAGAGCCATCTCAACAGAACCTCCATCTCTCGCTTGTAGTGTGTGTGGTGCTAGGGACTGGACCCAAGTCTTTTTTGTGCCAGTGCTGTATTACACCCCAGCAGAAACCCCACAGCTTAAAATCTACCCTTTTGCCAACGAACCAGTAGGTCCTTAGGATGGGAATAAGAAGAAATAAGGTCAAATTCTGCGCTCTTGAGAAAACACACCATTTCCTTTTCTTTACGTTTCAAGCGTATTTTCAGAGTTCTGCAAAAAAGTAGCCACTGAATGAGAAAAGTCAACAACAGAAGAAACCTTATTCTTAAACATTTCAAGTGGTTTTCCATCACTTACAAGATTCTATGACAATAACGAAATTCATTATTACCGGAGAATCTGTCGTAAATTTCTCCCACCAATTCTTCCAGACTGAATTATTTAAAATAGAAGAAGCGAGATAAACAGCTTAAAGGCTGCAGGCACCTTCACAGAAGCCTGCAAGGGTCACTCTGACTGAGGGACTCCGGAGCCGCAGAGGGGCAGCGGTGGAGGCACGGCTGGGCCCCGCCCGGTACAGCACTCTGCACCCGTCCCAGGCCCACGGCCGCTCCGGAACCGCTTCTGGCTCTGTCCTAACGGAACTCTCAGCTGATTGGGTAACAGTAAAAATCCTCACTTTGGGATTCGTTTTCCTTGGAAACTAGTCTTTGACTTTACATCCAAAAACAACTCTCAGACACTAGATTCAATTATCACCTATCTGTATTCTGTACAAGTTTCTACTGGAATGGGTGGGTTTCTAACGCATCAATAACCGCATCTAGAGAAGGTCACTACTCACTGCCACCGTGAAACTAGTCAGTGATCTGAAGGGACCGTGAGAAACCTCAGGGCTCAGGTGTGGCGACTGCGGCAGTGGCTTCAGAGGCCGTGCACTCCGCCTGCCGCCCGGGGCTGCCTGGATCCTACTCAGAGCGGAGCTGGAGGGCCAGTGGTGCTACCACTGCCCGAGGTCTGTTAAAAACGCTAATCCTGGACCCCACTTAATCCTAGAATTGGAAGCTGTACTTTAACGAGCCCCCAGCGGTGACCCTTGGGCACAGCGAGGTTCGAGAGCAGCAGCCGTCTGCTTCTCTCTCTAGGTGGACAGGACGCAGCCGGTGAACACGCCCTTCCTCATCTCCCGACCACTTATCATAGTTTCCTTCACTTATTTTCTTTGAGTGAAATAACCTGGTCCTAATTTTTCCCATCACTGTTGGGCCCATATTCTGCTAGGTTGTTACTTTCTGAAGTGACCGAGCGCTCTGATGACCTCAGTCCTCCTTAGCACACAGAAGGAAAGCACGGCCTTGCAGAGTTCCGGCCTGGGCACTGACGGCACGATGGGAGCATGATACCCCGGAGTAGCACTCAATGTGAAATCTGCATTTCATTTTTTCTCTGCATTTTCTTAAAATGCAAACAAAAAACAAGGAAGAAGCTCTGTAAATATATTCCATCCTTAAGAAATTTGTGTTTGGCAATGATAATCAGATCATTTCAGACTCTGATTAATCCTTAAAGGATTACGCAGCAGTAAGACCCTCACTAAACCACTCTTAAGATCACAACTCTTAAGAGCCTCCGGGCCAACCTTCTCCAGTAATAGTCTTGTAAGTGTAAGTTTTCCTTTTTTGTTTTTGGTTTTTGAGACAAGGTCTCCCAATGTAGTCCAGGCTGGCCTTGAACTCACTACATAGCGCAGGCTGGCCTCCATCTTGTGGTGATCGTCCTGCCTCAGCCTCCTGAGTGTTGGGATTACAGACTGGCGCAGCCACACCCGGTCAAATTTTCCAGCGAGTGAGCTGCACTGAGTACCCTGCAGCGCCCTTCCGGTCCCCACAGTGCCTCCTGCTTGACCTTCTGTTCTTCGTGGCCTCTTTGCAGCCCCTGCCCTCCCTGCCACAGCAACACTATCGCTTGGTCTCAGGTCACCCGCGCTTTAGGTGCCCTGCCAAGAAACTGGTGAGACCCATGCATTCGGCACAACCGTGATGCTGGGTTCACACAGCGCAGCTCTCGGAGAGGCAGGCAGCTGAGCCTCGCTGCTTAGGAGCTGAACCTCGAGTATCCCAGAGGTCCTGGGGACAGGTGCTTTTCTAAGCCATTAAGCAAAGGGCTGCGGCGCTCCGTCACAGGAAAGACGCCTCAGGTGCAACCGCTCACCTGAGACTGCTGTGCTGGGACGAGGGAACCTGGAAGAGACCAGGGGGAGGAATGATCCCTTCCCCTATTGCCAAACACGAATCCTCACTCAAGAAAAGCGCCCGCAACTCAGATCACACTTACTTCACCGGTCAAGATCAAATATGAGTTCCTAGTTAGAGCACCAAATATTACGGGAAACAGGCTGTCACTAGGGAGTGTCAACTGTGAAATGCAGAACCCTCATATTGAAATGAGGGAACCAAGAAATCTAGGAAATAATTATGGATATAATGTTTAAAGGTGTAAACACAGAATAATACAAATAGACAAGCAGCAAGAGACTATGAAAAGTGAGCCGGCACACAGAACTTCTTAGATAAGATTTAGTATATCTTATCAGAATCCTAGCGATGGAGAATAAAGAATGGAAGAGAGAGTATATAAAGAGAAAATGGCTAAAAATTTTCCAGAACGGATTAAAAAAAACCCCAAGAATTCACAGATAAAAGAAACATAGCACAGGGGCTGGGGATTTAGCTCAGCGGCACAGCGCTTGCCTGGCAAGTGCGAATTCATGAGTTCAATTCCCGGTACTGGAAAACAAACAAACAAACAAACAAACAAACAAACAAAAGAAACATAGCACAAATCAAAATACAAGAGAAGGTCAGTAAAATCTGTGCCTAGGCACACTGTAGTAAAGTTACAATGAAGCAAAGACAATTAGAAATGATCAGTTAAAAAGACACAAAAGTGATTAGAAAAATTAGAATTACAAAATCAAATTTGACCCTGTACCAACTTACTTCTCAAAATTTTCAGCAACTTAATGCGAAGAATCTGAATTCTTCGGAGTTGGATATTTAAGACTCTCCCAGATCTGTTTCCTGTTATACTCTAGTCTTCTGGCCAAACCTGAGACGACTGCCTGTTACCTGAAACACACTGTGTCCCTTCTGCAGCCTCTGGGCCTCCACGACGCTGCCTGCTGGCTGCACTGCCCCTGTCATCTCTGCCTCCTCAAACCGTACTTTTTCTTCAAGGCTCTGCAGGCTTCCCCAGTCGTCCCAGCGGGGTGAGCGCTTCAAACACGGCTGATTTCGTGCGGCCCTCACACTGTAAACCACCTCCTATAACAGCTGTCAGCTTGTGTATTTTGTTTTCCAACTGAACTGCAACTTGTTTAAAGGCAAGTTCTAGATTTGCTGATGTCCTCTGGCACCTTTCCTTGTCCACTCTGCAGCTGATATGGTCTCAACAAACAAAATGGGTCGTGCACAAACCACCGAGAGGAAACAACCCTTAGGCACAGGTCCGAAATAACTTGTAGGACTCATGGTCACGACTCTTTTAGGAATCCTGGGTCTCAGGACTCACCTGTTCTGGCCGGCAAAGGATGCCTGGTCTATAGGCAGGATGCTTTCAGGCCACGGGGCAGTCTGATTTGGAGGAGCTTGTTGTTGGCTGTACTGAGGTCCCCCCATATTCATCTCTAATTCAGATGGCCCTGAAGAGGGACGGGAAAAAAGAGAACCGAAAACTTTGTATTGTTATACCATGTAATCAAGGGAGTATTATTTCTGCCATGTAATATAAATGAAATATCTGGTTAATGGAGAATGCAAAAGACAGAGACAATGACAGTTACATTGGTGGATATAAGATGAACTTCTGGTCTGAAATAGAAATAAAGGCAATAATACCAAGGTTAATCGCCATTTCAGAGAATTAGCGGCTCTTACAGCACCCTCCACTGTGCTTCTTGCTCTTGTGTATTACAGCTCGGCACTGTCTACTCGCAGGAGATTCAAAGTGGCAAAGAGGAGAAAGTGCCAGTTCACATGGAAGTCGTGAGAATAAGTCGGTTACCTGCGTGTGGGGCATGTCTGTAACCCTACCGACCCAGGAATCAGTTTGAGACCAGCACAGGCAAATTAATAATAAAAATACGCAAATAAAGGAGCTGAGAGTGGAGCTCAGCGCAAAAACAAAAGCCAACAAACAAAAGGAGCTGTACGTTAATATAAGCAAGCTTTTTAAATGAAGACAGTAAAATGAAGCCCATTTCATGGGCACTGTCAACTGCTCTGATGTCTGGGTGAAGAGAGGACAGCAGAACTGCCCATCTGCCTCGGTGCTCCGTCCGCTGCGCTAACACCGACCAGTGCGGGCCTGTGGGAAACCCCACTGGACGCGCACTCATGACGGGACAAGTGCGGAAGGCAGGCGGCGTCCGTTTATTTCGATGAAAGGAGTCTGGGGCTTGCCGGCGTCCGGAAAGGCAGTGGGATGCTGGGGCGTACCTTCACAAAGTGCTGGTGTAGGTCACCTCTGTTAGCTCTCCCACCAGAACCAGGCCAGGCAAAGGGGAGTCATACAGCACAGACATACTCCTCCTCAGAGGGGCTTCCAGGGGCTTACAAGCTAATGGGTGTTGAGTTTTTCTTTGATTATACTATCATCATTGTCTGTAACCTTCCTAGAATTATCATAGAAAATTTTCTGAGTTCAAGGCTTTTTTGACTTTACAAATTAGGGAAATTCAGCTACAAAATTGTAGAGTAATATCTAAAGCTCAAAAGCCAGCTGTGCCGGGTGTGGTGGTGCACACTTGTAATCCTAGCACTCAGGAGGCTGAGGCAGGAGGAATCATTGCGAGTTTGAGACCAGCCTGGGCTAGAAAGTGAGCTCCAGGCCAGCCTGAACTCCATAGCGAGACCCTGTCTCAAAAAAAAAAAAAAAAAAAAAAAGCCAACTGCTCTCCAGAGAAGAATGAGAATAAATTTAACTTCTGGATATCAGAGTTTTTTTTACCTATGATTTAAAAATGAATAAATAAATATTTAAAAATATTTTAAAAATTTCTTACTTTAGCATAGGAATCTGAGTATTTTTAAAACATTTTAAAATGCTAAAAACCTTCAAATGATGTCAATTTAAGTTTTGGAACTACTTACTACTTGAGTATATTCCATGTAGAAAGACAATGTAAAAGTCACGTCTCAGAATAATAAGCCAAAATGTGCCAAGCAGTGAAGTAACAAGGTAAGAGAACGGATGCCAGGGTCTGGCGAGGGCTCGGTGTTATCTTGCCGAAACAAGCCTGGCGTCTTCCCACGAGCGGCTTAGCTCTCACTCACTGCGCCGCACCCAAGTACACAAGAAGCGCACGAACACTGACTTACCCGAGTCCTGCTAACACACAGGATGACAGGAAGGGTCGTGTGTCGGTGACTCAGAACATAACCTCAAGAACGTAATTAAGAAAATAATCTCAAGCAAGAGCTGCAGGGACCACAAATTTTTTTAAACGTAACTTTATTGAGATTATTCATACACATACAGTTCATACATTTGAGTGTATGATTCAGTGGGTTTTCGTATACTGTACTCAGGGTTGTACAATCATCCCCACAATCAATTTTTGAACACTTTCATTCTAGAAAGAAACCTCTTACCATTGGCATCCACCAGGCTAGCAGTCCCATGCAGCCACGCTGTTTTGTCCGTGCCACGAGATTACACATGAGGTGACACAGAACACATCGGACCACTGTCTTCAGTGATGTCACGTGAGACCTGAGCCTGCAGCGAGGACCTGGGAGAATGATCTAAGAACCTAAAGTGGGGGCTCAGGACCTTACTTTAAGTCCTGGGAGACTTCTGATGACCATGCAATTAGAAGCTATGGCTTATCGCTAAACCTTTTATATGTAAAATGTCACATATATAGCATTTATCATGACATTCTCATTCACTTTTCCCCAAAGGTGATATGAGGTAATTTAATGAAAATAAAGGATCACAAAGGTAGTTGGTTTTCTCAGAATATTTCAGGGTCTGCGGTTGCATATGGAGTTCTAGCAAAATCCCACTTATGACAGCCTTACTCAGGAGGATTACCTAAACTGCAATCCAGGAACAAGAATGTTAAGCGCTTAGAGAGCTTTTAACTCCATCTAAAGAAAGCAAAAAAGATGAAAAGCAAAGCACATGGGACCACCTTACCTATGTTCATGACCTGAGACTGAAGCATCTGTCTTTGGCCAGGCTGGCTGCTGGGTCTCATAGGGATGCTGGCGGTCGGGTTCCGGATCATACCTCCTTGGGTCGGCCGGTTCATGGCACTGGTGGTGGCAGCACAGGTGACTCTCACGGCGGAACTCTGCGATGCCCATTCTCCAGATGGCATGGTGGGCCGGGAAGCACTGCTACCCATCATTCCTGCACGCAAGTCAAAGAAAGCTGAGAGACGCAGCCACTGAAAACATCCCACGCACACAGCCCATTTTACTCATTAAAGACAGCCTGCTGTAATCCACACTTAGTCCAACGGCTAGCAGCACAGTGGGGCAGACAGGGGCCCTGGGCTAAGAAACAAGAACTGACAATTACTATGAAGTTTGCACAACATGATCTTGCCACTCTTTAGAGTTCAGAAAGGCTGTTAAATTGTTCCCACATGTACTTAGAAACAGGTGCTGTGGGCCAGTGGATAACCCCAACTTCCTTCCTCAGGAAGTGAATCACACTGGCTGACACACACGTCAATGCTTTACCTTCCAAACGGAGGGCAGACTAGAAGGAACAAGGTAAAACTGGTAATCAGCGCAACGAGTGCAAGGCAGACACGGAACACAGCGTCAAACCCACACCAGACTTCTCAGTCCTCAAATCCCGTTCAGAATATTAACATCTGGTGAACTTCAAAAGTGATCAAGAGCAGCCTCTAAGGATGGGGAAAATAAAGGCTCTTTCTGATATTTACTATAGCTCTTCCCGGCCAGGGCGAGGGAACTCATGTTATATCCAAAACACTGCCTCCTGATTCTGCACTTTTAGAACAGGTTAGAATAGGTTTGTAAAAGCCTCTGCACTTAAATTTTTTTTTTTTTTTTTTTTTTTTGAGACAGGGTCTCATTATATAGTTCAAACTTGTCTCACACTCACTATGTAGCCAGCCCAGGCTGGCCTTGGCCTTGAACTTGCAGTGATCCTCCTGCCTCAGCCTCCTGAGTGCTAGAATCACAGGTGTGTGCCACCATGCCTGGATGCTCTGGAGAGTTTAACAGTTATCTGAGAACACGTAAGAGTCAGAGCACACCACTGCCAAGCAGGATCCAATGTCTCCTCTGTCCTGGCCTGAGAAGACCTGGCCTGGCCCCCGAGACGCTGGCAGTGGCAGAACACTGGCTAAGACTTGACATTCTGAAGGGGAAAACACCCAAATGAAATGATGTCTCTTTGTTTTGAAATGTTTAATGATGTGTGCACAAAGGTTTTACTTTCAAATACATAGCTCGCTTTCCCTGACTGTCACTGTGATAAGAGTCTAATGCATTTAGTAAGTAGAGAGCATATATCTTGGGTGTTTCTTCACTTGAGGAATGTGTTGAGGATGACAAAGAGCAAAGGGTAATTAGTTAGATTTAAAAAGTTAGAACAATATTAACATTTAAAAAACCATTGTAAGACTAGACTGGGCCTCTCCAAAGATACTATGAGAGAAAAGCATTTCATTTCTCCGTAAGTTTACTATTTAAACAATACAACAAGATTGGGGAAGACTAGAAAGCAGAAGGGAAAGCCCTCATTCGACAATGCTAACACAGTAACTCAAACAGACTTCTGTTTGTGTCGTTTCTGGAAGCCGAGTGAGGGCGCTGTATGACTGGTATAACCCAGACAGCAGTGATTTCTAGGCTACCCGGATTTTAACCTGCGCACTTCCCAGCTTCCTATGTAAGATCCTTACAAGATCTTTACAATTCTGTAAGGCTCTTACAGAATTTTGCACAAATCAGTGTTTTATTTATCTTAAAATAACAAAATAACTATAGTACCATTTCAATGAACATACAAATTAATGAAGCAGTCCGTGCCTGGCACATACGGCAGGCAAACAATAAATATCTGTTCAATGAAAAAACTAACACAAAGCCAGGAATATAGCTCAGTGGCACAAGCGCCTGCCTGGCAAGCGTAAGGTCTTGAGTTCGATTCCCAGTACCAAAAAAAAAAAAAACCAAAGAAAGAAAATAACACAGCACAGTCATGCATCTGATAAATTCATTACCAATAACAGAATGTAAAATTTCCAGCTTTTACCTTCACATGGAACTTTTATATCCAGTTAACTATCTAAATGACAATGGACAGGTTACAGACTAAACCAAAGAAAACATGAAGAACTGCAAGATCCACAACCATAACTTCTTTTCTGTAATATCTATTCTATACCTCTTGTCTCTAGTACTTGCTAGTACCTCGAGACAAAGGAAGAAAACTGCTGAATGTGAGCAAGCCTTTATTAGGTAAGTCAGCATTCTCTTATCCCATAAAAGGAGACAAATACACAGCTAGCTAGCTAGAGAGATTGTGTATGTGTGGTGACAGAACTGTACCTTGGGGTTAGGTCTAGGCTATATCCCCAGCCTTTTTTTAAAATTTTGAGACAGGGTCTCACTAAATTGCTAAGGCTACATTTGAACTTGTGATCTTCTTGCCTCAGCCTCTCAGAGTGCTGGGATTATAGGTATGTACCACCACAGCCAGCTAGTAAAGAGACATTATGAAGTCCAGGATGTTGTGGCAATGCCAGTCACTGCTGCAGCAATGACTCTAGGCCTGCATTTGGGTGACAGCTTGGTAATATGGTAGCTGCTGTGAAAATGTGCCCAGGCGATTTGGCAGAGAACTGAAATTATAGTAGGCCAAGGTCCAAATCAGATCACAACTTCCTTCACCTTCAGAAATGGGGCCCTGGATCAGATCTGAAAGTTATTATTAGACCAGGCATACTCCTCTCTAAAATTCTTTACTTTTTTTTGAGATAGGGGCTTATTACATGGCCCAGGCTGGTCTACAACTCATGGGCTCAAGAGCCCCTGTCTCCTTCAGCCTCCTGAGCAGCCTGGACTACAGGCACACAGCACGAAGCCCAACTAAAGCTCTTCACTTTCAGTTACTTTTTTTGAATGAGAACTGGATCACCTAGATGTATGAAAAGTCTGGCTGAATTTTAAACTTTCAATCTGAAATTCTTTAAGTATAGATTGTCAGTAAGTTTTGTGGTCATCTGTAGATTACCACTGGGAACCAGCAATCACCAATTTATGTACACATACTGTTTGTGTTCAGAATAGTAACTGGGGTGGAAGTGAAGCCTACGTTACAGGATTAATGATCAGAAACCTCATCAAAGAAGCAATCACAGGATAAAATGTCTAGCTTACTGGAATGGTTTCCAATATGCCACGCTCACACTGGAAACCTACAGTATTTTCTTATTTTCACAGGTTAGTTTCCAACACACTCACTAAAAAACTCTGCTAGTTTGATGTGGATGAATACATAATGAAGTGAAATAACCCACCAATAAAGAAGAGTGCATTTGAGCCCTTACCTGTGCTACTGTTCCCTAAGTTGCCTTGGTTTCCTATCATCCCTTGGGTACCCATCATTCCTGGCTGAGGTATCACTGAGTAGGGACTATTGTTTCTGATTGGTGGGAAAGGTCCAGCACCAGTTGGGCTTTGCAATGTGATGTCAAGTGGTAAATTCTGGTTTGGCAATAACCTGCCCAGTTGCCCTGGTCGTGGGTTATTAAAAGCTAAGGAGAAAACAAATAAAAATTAAAAGTTAATACAGGATAATGGAAAAGAATATTAACAGTAGCAGTGTTTAGGGAAAATGTCATTTTGTAAAATAACAGATATGCAAGTCAGGGATCAACTACCTATGTGCAAGACAAATTCAGATGAAAAACATGCAGCATCCAAATGTTACATGTGACTGAATCAGCAAATCCATAAATCCTGATGATCTCGCAAGAAGAGAAAACTCACACGTATATTATTTACCTTATCACACCCAAACCCTACCTTTGGAGACAGAGTCTCCCTGTGTGGCCCAGGGTGCTCTTGAGCTTGCAATCATTTTGCCACAGCCTCCCAAGTGCTAGGGTTATAGTCATGCTCTACCGCATCTGGCTTCTCCACAGTCATTTTTAATACTGAACTGCTGTTTCCTAAGTAGACCATTAATATGGTTTTTCCATGTTATGTGACTCAAACACAGCAGTGTTACCTTTTCACAGCTACGCAGTTGTAAACATCTCCTCATACAGCACCAAGCGTACACATGTGGTGTGGAAGTTAAAGTACCATTTCCTAAGTGGACTTTCCTGGGATTAGAATTAAGAATGGGTACTCTTCATTGGAAGTTAAGTTTTTTAATACGTATACTGTGTTACCTGAAGCAGTATTAAATGATACCTTATTCTTTTAAGTACAGCCTCTTTGAATTCTGGACACATTTAGATTTTAAATGGTTTTTATGGTTAGTTCAAAATAATTTACTGTATATTAAGCACGATAAATCTTTAATTTGATGTTACTAAACTTTAAAATACTAAGATATAAATGACAATTTATGCTGCTAATTTATTAGATATCAAGTAGTTTTTTTACAAATTATATGAATATAGTCTGAGATACCAGTTAAAATGGAGTAATCGCTTAAGAATTCATAGTATAAATGAACTATTTAGGAAAAATTAAGGCTCAGGGTGGAAATTATGCATACAATGATCTGGTTGCCACTCAGTAATCGGAATGTGAGCGGGAGCTGCAGACGGAGGAGCCTCAGCCCCACGGAGCCTTCTCATTGCCCCCGGTTAGCGAGCAGCAACTACGCAGTGTGTCTTACCCTTTCAGTCGCTGGACTCTGCAGCTCCCTGATCTGTAATCAACCCCGCCTCCCCCAGACGGTCAGGTTTGAGAGACACCAGGCAAAACCTCATCTTTATTTGGCTTTATCCTTTTCAAAATGGTGATAGATCACTTGATGAAACACCTGGAATTGATATTCTGTGATGTGGCTGATAGCTGCCGCTCCTGATTTGAGAACAAGTGCTGCCAATACTGAGTCAAAGTGTATTTGAAGAAGAAAAAACGTCATTCTGTTGACCAACACAGAAGAGGTTAACAACCTTTGTATAAATTATGGCCCTGCTACAGAAAAGAATATTTTCTTCCATGCAAAACTATTGGACAACTTCAAATACCGACAGCAACTGAAATGAACGGATATGTGACAATCAGCAGAGGAACTTTACCAGCCTAGGTTTGTCTGCCAGCATGCCACGTTGCCCACATTACTGAGAGAGGCCAGGGAGCCACATTCACCAGAGTCCATCCTGAATACTGCTTCTGAGGGACCAGGACAGTAGATGGTGCTATTTGATCACAAAAACCACTAAGTGACTAAGCTGTCTGCACCACACTTCAATAAGCTCTGTTCCTGATGTTTATATGGGTATCTCTTGGTGAAAACCAGCAACATCTCATACTCACTGCTCTGTGAAATTCGCAGTGCTGCTTTCTGGGCTCCAACAGGTGTGGCGGGGCTGTTTTCAGCTGTGAGCTGCATGAGGTCATTGATGATGGCTTGCTTGTCAACTGATCCAGCAGGGGCGCCTGGCCTCGTGTCTGGGAAAAGCTGTGGTAATTGACTATTCTGCAAATCATCCAAAATCTCCTCCAAGTTGTCCAGCTCACTGCCAGGCTGTAGTTAACAAACAAGAAGAGTTTATCCAGGCCTACTCCAAGAGTGTGCTCCCAGGCCTCTTTGCTATTACAGACCTCAGGGGTGTAAGATACCATGGCCAAACAAAAACGCAGACACACGTGCACCTCAGGCCCAAGATTTACTAGTCATTTTCTAAAAATTAAATTGACAAAGAGCAAGTAACTTAATCTCTGGATCTTGAATTCCCCTCCTGTTTCCAGAAAAGGAGAAATGGCTGAATAAGGAAGAAAGCAGACATTCCTCACCGTGATGCACTGGTAATTCACAAATGCCCCTTTACTTTATACTAACCATCTAATTAATTGTATATATATTTCCAGTGACTGGCTGACAGTTCAGGCCTAGGTTTTGTTGATAAGGCTCCCTACGAAATCGATAATTACGACAAAGAAAACTGGCATAAGTGTGCTATAAATTTGCAGTTATTCATTAGTAAATGGCCACCTGCCTTTAGGACTTTTCTCCCCAGGGGTTTGGAAATGGTATCAGACACAAAATAAGCTTCAAGTAACTAGCTAAGCAACGCTTTTTTAATTTGAGTGGTTTTTTTTCTGCTTACACTTTCAGTTTTAAGTGACACTGGCTTTTTCAGTGACTCATCAGCTGAGGTGACAGAAGTGTAGGAAAGCAGCATGGAAACTGGCTGCTGCCCAACGTAACATGGACTAATCTGATTTCACAGAAGCCACAGCAATCTTTCTTACTGTCTTCCTCCCTGTGGTTGTTTTGGTGCTGGGAATTGAACTGAGGACCTTGCGCTTGCCATGCAGGCGCTTGTGCCGCTGAGCTACATCCCCAGTCCTCCCCTCTGCTTTGAAGTCCATTCCAAATACCAACGTTACAGTAATAGGAATCATTTATTATCTTTCTACCTGGCACTTTTCTTTTCCAGGAAGCTGATTTCACAGATATATTTTTCAAGAGGAACCAATCTAAGTGCTGAAACTTAAGTTCAGACATTGCAGTCCCACAAGAAACTAGATGCTGGGATTACTTTCCAGCAAAGAACGTGCTAAGAATGGTTTTTCTTGGTGGGTAGGAGGGAAACAGGCAGTTTGCTCAGAGTCACTGGATGAACTCTGAGTCCTTCACCATAACTAGCCCTTTCCCTCTACATTGGCCAATCAAATGAAATACCCATCACACATCTGGTAATGAGCTGCACTTATAGCATAATGGCTTATGTTTCATTTATTTATTTTTTTGAAACAGGGTCTCACTACGTAGTGCAGGCTGGCCTTATAGTCACTATGTAGCCCAAGCTCACCTCAAACTTGCAGTGATCCTCCTGCCTCAGCCTCCGAAGTGCTGGGTTACAGGCATGTGCTACCACACCTGGCTGGCTTACGTTTTAATCCTATGTACAATTCCTATCCTCTACATTTAAGCTGGATTTGCTAAGATTTTTACAACTTATGACAAATTAAAAACCTGTATTACAGTATCTTTTGACTGGATATATTTCTCAAGAAGGACAGATGAAGTGGTTTTTTTTGGTTTGTTTTTTAAATAGCACTAAGGATTGATCCCAGGGCCCTCACACTGACCTGCACCTCCAGCCCCAGTTGAGCTAGGGTCTCGCTAAGTTGCTGCACTGCCTAGGCTGGGCTGGATCTTGTGATATTCCTGCTGTACTTAGCCAGAGTACTGGGATAATAGGCAAGGCCACCATGCCCAGGTGTAAGCGACATTTCATCTGATTTTTCTCAGAGACAGTAGCTTAGCAAATCATGGAGACCCATTCTTCTCAGGAAATTTCTACTGCAAGGTTAGAGCAATTGCAGGACCATTTTCTGTCCACCCATTTCTAACAGAAGAATGAGACAGCTCCATGGGAGGGTTATGTCTTAGGTAAGAACGGGCTTCAAAGTTGCACCTTCAGGTACAGACGGACAAAAAACAATCCTTGAAGTTTCTCAGGAAGAACCCTCAAAGGGCGAGAAAACTCTTCCTCCGGAGTGGGGGACACCACTGTTTCTTTGGCCTTGAACACAACAGTTCAGGTACGGGCTATGCTGAGCTTTAAAAGCCAAGCCTGCAGTCACATGTCCAGCCCGTTAGTGCTGCTAGGGAACCACCCCCTGACAAACTCGTGTCACCTTGTGAGCACTACCAGGGCATATATATACTGAGTGGAACGGCAGGCCGCACGCACACACTCAGACCTCACTCCCTTGCAGGGCCTGGCTCTGATTCCTAGGGCCCCCATACAGATACAGACAGACAGACAGACACACACATGGTACACACGGTACACACGGTACACACATACACACACACACACACACACACACACAACTTCCTTAATCCAACTGTGGACTAGCTGGCTCCAATAAGTAATGAAACATGTATTTTTCAAAAGATACGAGGGATTTTCCCGGGATTATGTAACAAAATGAATTGAGTCTATGTAGCTTCATAACTATGGACGCTGTTTGAATTCATTCAAGCTCACCGCCTGAAAATGCAGTATGACGTTTCCCCCACTAGAGATACACCGCTTTGCCTGTGTTTATTCCCAGTCAATTTGCGGAGGACACACTTGACATTATCTGGAAGGGGTGCATTTGATCACATGAAGTTTCTGCTAAAAAACTTTTCCTTCTGCCTTTCTGTACGTTTTCAGTCTCGTCCGAAGTTCTTTCCCTTCTCCTTTTGTTAGGCACAGTGTCTTTGCAAGGCGAAAAGATTAATGCCCCCTCACACACTGCGCCAGGATGCTTCGAAGCTTTGCTCAGGGTTCTATCTGAATGCTCAAATTAGCCACATCAATTTGAGTAGTTAGTTTAAACTATTTCAGGCAGAAAATGAGTCAGAAAGATTTTTATAAAAGTTCTACAAAATGAAAAATAGACTCGATTCTTTAATTTTTCATTTTTATAATCTTCAAGTCAATTTGCCCTTTCAAGACAAAGAGCACATACATTTTTGCCCCCCCCATACCAGAAATTGAACTCATGTCCTTGCACTTGCCAGGCAGGCGCTGTGCCACTGAGCTAAATCCCCAGCACCTGAGCACATATATTCTAATAAAATGTATTCGAGTAAGTTATAAAGTAGGTTTTCAAAATATTTTATATTTATTTATTTATTTTTGTTTTTTAAGGACAGGTTCTCGCTATGTAGTTCAGGCAGGTCCTGAACTGACTACCTCGCCCAGGCTAGCCTTGAACTTGCAGCAATCCTCCTGCCTCAGTGCTGAGATTATAGGGTTATGCCACCATGCCCAGCCTCAAAATATCTTGAACAGAAAATATAATTTTATCACATTTGTCCAACAGAAAATTGTTAAGAATTAGTAATACAATTCTACCATATTTGGAGAAAAATTTTCACGACATTAGGGTTTTCTGTTTGTTTGTTTGTTTGTTTTGAGACAGTCTTGCTATGTAGCCTAGTCTGGCTTTGGAGTTTTGGTGATTTTCCTGCCTCAGTCTCCTGGAGTGCTGGGACTGTAAGTATGTGCCACCACAGCCAGCTTCTACCAGCTTGAAATAGAGTTTACCCTTTTAATGGTGTCCAACACTAAGAAGGAATGCTTTTCACATTATTTCCAAACCTGTGTAAGTGTCTCGGTACCACCAGGAAGAATGTTGAGAGTACACTTGGTTAGGTATGAACCTTCCTCCATTGTGTAAAGAAGTGTATGTCTTAAATCAGTAAACATACTAGAAATTTTTCTGTCACTTTTTCTGTTTCCTGTTGGCTAGGAAATGCCATAAAAAAAATCTTGTTTAAATGCTCTACCCAGTAAAAAATACTATTTTAGGTACTGTAGCACCATTGAAGCACTTCCTGCCCCTAATAAGTTAGTAATAGATTAAACACACGCTCAGTTAATGGTTTTTTCTGAATCGAAGTAACAAGACAGCTAAATGCAGTTCTGGCTGTTTTATCTCACTAAATAACTTACTGTATGTCCTGGAGATGAGGTCTTCCACAAATGTGTGCAGCAGGTGACAGAAGGTTCAGTTCATTGGTGTTTGGAATCACGAAGGAGAACAGGAATGAAAGAATCACTTTTTTCTCAATCTAACTTTGATCTAAATTTAGGTGATGCATACTTCCTGTGGTAACTTTTCAAACTGCAACGTTTTTGATGTTAAAATTGCTCTGTGAAGCCGTATTTTTGGTGGGGTTTTTAAGAGAGAGAGAAGGGAGGGTGAGACCAGAGACTGGATTTCATTAAAAAAAAAAATGTGCACTGTATATGTGTCTGTGTGAGACACACTTGTGTACACTATTTTTTGAGACAAAGTCTCACTATGTAGTCCCGGGTGTCCTTGAACTCCCTAATTAGGCCAGGCTGGACTCAAACTCCCAGAGATATGCCTGCCTCAGCTTCCAAGTGCTGGGATTACAGGTTTGCACCACCATACTTGGCTACCCTGCTTTTTGATCTACCCTAAATAATAGATCTGTATTGATTATATTCTAGGCTTTATGTTTCAGAGGTGAGACAATTTTGATTAGAAACTGTTCTTCCTAAAGAATAACTAGAAACTGCAAATGACTCAAGGTCTTTCTTTAAACTCATTTCTTCTTGTCTGAAGTTAGAGCAATTATACATAAATACAGAAATGCCAAGTGGGGTATGGTGGCACATGCCTGTCATCCCAGCACTTGGGAGGCTGAGGCAGGAGGATTGTCGTGAGTTTGAGGTCAGCCTAGTGCATTCAAGGCCAGCGGGAACTACGTAGTGAGATCTGGTCTCACAAAATAAACAAAAAGGAAATGCTCAACAGCGGGCTGCTCTGTGACCCTCTAAGTCCTTAGGTTGCAAGCCTGAAATGGGAGCACGTTCTGTTCACGGAGAGAGAGCTGGCCACGTTAGGCACGACGCTAAGGTGGCTCACACGAGTCACTGTCCTGCCCTCCAGGGTGTCAGGACAGCTGTCAATACGGCCCACATCTCACTTTACAGAGGACACTACTGCTCCGTTTCTGCCGAGATCCTGCTCCCCCAACTCATGATTTCAATGCAACACAGAACAGCTGCTGCAGACCTGGCAGGAACATCCAAGTTTAAGGATGAACCACCAATGATGTTTTCGCAATTGGGCTCTGAACAGTTCTATGTGTTCTCAGAAATGGTGGCAGCTGTTAAGACATCAAAGTGAAAGACAGGAACCCAGGTGTGGTAGCCCCTGCCTAACACCTCAGCACTCTGGGAGGCTAGGGTAGGAAGGCTGAAAGTTTGAGCCTGGCCTAGGCAGTTAAGGGAGACCTTGTCTCAGAATAAAAAGTAAACAGGGCTGGGCATGCAGCTCAGTGTGCAGACCCTGGATTCACTCCAGGAGGGGAGGGGGCAGTGCAAGTGTGGGAGCTGAGTGCGGAGAACCTGCAAGCCTGACTGGAAAGGCAGGCGGCAGCCTCCGCGCTCTGGATGACCCTGCAATCCCTACAGGGCCTGAGGCCGACGCCTACTGCCGCCTCAGCAGAGCTCCCCGGACGGTATGCAGGTGCAGCTCTCTCTGTCCTATCCGCTCCCCCAAAGGTGGGGACACATGAAATGCCCATCACCACCGCATGCTGCAAGGGCAAACTCCAGAGGCATTAAGTAGGGAGGGCCTTGCAGCTTTTTCACTTTTTAACCAATCGCGGCCCAGAACAGGCCTGGGGGCAGGGCGAGTCTAGAGACCCGAGCAGGGTGAGGCCTTGGTCCACCACCATGTCACTTCCTTGTAAACGCTGACCCCGAACCTTCGTGGCTGTCACACCTGCCCCTTTCTAAAGAAAGAAAAATACAAAGGGTTTCTTTTTCCTACCACGGTTTTATCACCTTGGACACTGTCAAGAATAACTGAGGAAAAGAGGTTGAAGAGAAGTTGGAAAGACTGCGGAATTTCGGTCAGCATGAATGAATTTCAGAACCGTATTGTACAACATGTGTGACAGTCAATAACACACTTCATAATCGCTAGGAGTAGATTTTAAGCACTTACTCTACAAAAAAGATCCGACTGTGAGGCAATGCATATTAATCAGCTTGATTTAGCCATCCCACAACATATACATATTTTACAACACCATGTTGTTTACCATAAATATGTAACTTTTGCTTGTCAATTAAAAAATGGTTTTGAACATTACCTTGTGTTTGTGAATTTTTTTCAGGGCATTCATTTTTCAGACAACTACAACAGATAATATAACTGTATTTTGGGAACAGGGTCTCCCTACACAGTCCAAGCTGATCTCGAACTCCCTATATAACCCAGGCTGGCCTCTCACTTGCCAGTCCTTCTGCCTCAGCTTTCCAGGTGCTGTGGTTTCAGGCGTGCACCCCACGCCCAGCATGTAACTTGCTATTTTATTTCTGAGTTTATAGATGATGACTGAAATACAGTAACACTCAATCAGCCGCTACCTATCCTCTCCATTTCCTCTGAAGTGTTTTTAGCGGTGTTGGGGACTGAATCCCAGGCCTTATACTGAACTGCATCCTCAGGACTTTTGATTTTTTAATTTTAAGACAGGGTCGCCAAATGGTACGGATTGGCTGTGAACATGGGGTGCTCCCGAGCAGCTGGGGTTAAAGGCTGCGCCCCTGCGCCAGCACTGGGGGGCTGGTGGAGGAGAAAGCGAGGCAGAATGACTGGGTTAAAAAGCAGCTGAATCTGCTCATACACAGAGAAAAGTAAAGAAGGGATAACTGAACGAGTTTGTTCTGACAAAATCCAGTGCTGAGGACGTGATTATCTCCAATTAGGGGTCAGCAGACTACGGCAGACCGCAGCCCATGGGCTCCATCCTGCCTCTACCTTTCTGTAGTGGTTTCAGAAAAGAAGACTGTTTTGTGCTCCATGAAAAGCATGTGCTTCAGCATCCAGAGATGAAGTTTCCCCGGAGCACAGCTACATTCATTTGTTCAGGGTCCACAACGCCTCTGCACTGGCACAGCAGGCCGAATGGCAAAGCCTGATACCCACGTTAGAGCGTCACTTTTTGTGGGGAACTGTTTGAAACAGATTTGATGCGAATTAACTGTCTCAAGGTAAAGACCATAGAGGAGATTTCTATCAAATCACTTGAGGCCTCCAAAAGTCCTGTGGAGAGAATCCCTGGGGGACACAGTGGGGTTCCAAGGAGGAGACATCAGGAAACTCACCTGGTCACTGGGCTCGAAGCTCATCTCCTCCTTCTCCGTCTTCATAGCTAATAGCTTTGTGTTACTGGCAGGGTCTGGCTTACTGTCCAGGCGCTCAAGTTTGGGGGTTACTTCTGGTAAACCAATATCTTTAGTATCATCTTTATCCAGCAAGTAGCGAAGTAGTGCATTCTCTTTCTTCTTAGGGCTCACTGGCTCCTGTTTAATAGTCACTTCTGAGCCAGGAGCTGTGGTGCTGGACTCCTGACTTAGTTCTTTGCCTGTGGCTTCTGCTGTTAGCTTGGCTAAGTCCACAGGGGAACTGCTGTCCTGCAAGAGTCTGTGCAAAATTTTATGCTTCTCCTTGAGTGAGGTCCCATGGGTGGACCCCGCGCCGGGCAAACTCCCTGCGGCGTCCTTGCTAGCGTCCGACAGTGAGCTGGGTATGGGGGAGGGCTCCGTCTGGTCAGCCCTGGTGGTCAGCAGCTGCAGCAGCTTGGTCTGCCCTTTGCTGTCGTGCAACCTGCTCTGCGCCTCGGCTCTCTCCCCGCCCGCTGCCTGGGGCGCACTGGAATCGTTTGTCTCTTTCTGCTCTCCGGGATGGCAGCTGCTCTCCGCCGGTCCAGTTGTATTTTCCGATGGCTCCCCATAAAGTCCGAAACATTCTTTGGAGTCCAAGCTCCCCATCTTGCTGAGTGGGGGAGGATTTATATTAACCGGGGAGTTTTGCAAATTGCCCATTTTTAGGTCCGGTGAAGCCAACGATGACCCTAATGAGACTCCGTGCCCCTCACTGAGGGCCTGAAGTGCATTGAGGGAACTGTTGGTATAACTATGGCTATTTCCTGTGCTGCTGCAGACTCCCACGGGGGAATGCAAGCTTCCTGCAGGAGAAAACTGACTGGGTGGGATGCGAGGACTGCCAGCCACTCCGGGGCTCATGCGATGCCTTGGTGAAAGCATGGAGCTGGGCTGCCCTGGATTCATGCCAGGGCTGCTCTGCGAGGGACTGTTCATTTTGAGTGCATAGTTACTACCCTGAGGAGTGGCTGCTTGCATGCCTGACACATGGTTCATTCCCCCAGAACCACCGAACCTGCCCATGGGCATGCCCATTTGTTCCTTTGGGCCATTTACGGGAAAATTTATATTGCTACTGAGGGCCACGTCCTGACCCGGGTTCCCACTGCACAGGGCCTGATGGGCCGGGCTGCTAGCGCTAATTGGGTTCAACGGCTTCCCCACTGCTTGTCCAGTCAGATCCGGATTCACTACACATGCACTCTGCTCTCTGTATAACGAGGAAAGAAAGAAATGTAAGATAAAAGGAAAATACTTCACAAGTTGTTATTAATTTTGAAAACTGAGATGGCCTCTTTGCAAGCACAGACTGCATTTAGAGGACAGACAACACTGGGACAAAGCCATCTGCAGTTACGGACAAGACTGAACACGCATAGTTTTGGACTAAGAGGGATGTTTTTGAGGCAACTCATTAGGATGTCTGTGGTTTTACGGAGGGGGTATGGATAACTGACTGCTACCATATTGAACCTGCAGTTAGGAGACAGGACATTAGAGGGGTTCCAATTACAGACGTATCTTTCTCATGAGTAACACAGCTTATACTGTCAAAGAAATGATCCAAACAACTACAGCTGTCTTCAAATATTTGCTAGAAAATTACAATTCCTGACAACAGACACGTCTGCAGGCTTCGAGAGCTCTGCTATACATCACCTGGGTTCAAGATGGACTGCAAATGTAGCGAGGAAAACTTGCCCCTAACTATTACGGGCAATGCAGGTTCTAGAGCTAAAGGAGTTGTTGAAATCGTTTGGAATTAGTCCACCTTGTCTAACAAATTTGCACTCACCTTCCCACCTCCCAAAGTCAGAGCTCAGAGCCGGCACAGGAGGGAGCTTTGGAGTGACCTTTGTGATTTTACCCCCTCAGTCCTGGATAACTCCACCCTGCTCCCTAACTGAGGCACTAAAAGCGGGCCGTCAGAGATGATGATTTCCCAAGCCTCAGAACTTCCATTTTCAGCTCGGCAATCACTTGTGAGTTACTAAACATGCTCACAAATCCAAACAAAACAGGTTTCACAAACTGACAAACTATTAGCTTTCAGCTAGGTGGGTGCAATCTGCCACATCCGTAATCACTTTCAAACTGTTTCACTTTGAAGGCAGATTTATTAACAGCTGGCAAAGAGGGCTGCCTGATTTTTTCCCCTACATAATAAATAATTGAGAAGGGGGCTCTTCAACCAGAGCAACTTTATTTACTTTCTGATTGTACCTCATAAAGTTTCATTGCACATATACATAAATACTTACGTAACTTGAAATTTAATCATTTTCTTTAATGTATGCTCTTAAATACAGTTTTTGACATTTAAGCCAACACTTTTCTTTCCTTTATTATAAAAATGTTTATCACCCTTCAATTTAAAGTCTAATATCTGAAGCTAACTTAAACTCAGAAACAAAACTCAAACATTCTATGTGTACGTATGTGCCGGTTTTAGATTTAAACACACAAGATCAGAAACTGTGCCACTGGCTGCAGTGTTCCTGTCCTGCTTGTGCTGCCACCGGGAGTGGGTCCGTTTCAGCATAAGGGGTGACCATACTGGAGCGACGTCAGTGTGAGTGCTGTGTTCTTCCAGCCAGATTGTAAAACTCCCTAGTGTTGAGGCTAAGACTCAGGATAGCCCTAACCTGCCAGTGTCATTAGCTGGTTTTTAACCAATCGCTCACCTCAATTTAATGTTATACTTTATACTACCAGGACTGATAACAGAAATGCCTAACAAATCTGCAAAGCTGTAGGATAGTTTGTTGCTTTTGTAACATTCATTTTCTCTCAACTCGGGACTGGAAAATTAGTTCTTAAGAGTTGGCGTTTTTTGGTAAAATTTATTCAACTTGATGGTATGTTTTAAATTTCCCCTGTGTAATTAGTCGATTATGTGCATATATTTTTTTCTATATATGAAGATATATTTAAATGTTAATGTACTGATATAATTATGGGAATTTCACATTTGAATCCACAGCAGTACAAAAATGTTCAAATCCAACATCTGTCAATATACATCTTTTTCTAGCTCATTTATGAAAAGATATTTTATTTTTATTTTTTTTTGTCTTTTTGAGACAGGGTCTTGCTATGCCGTTCAGGCGGGCCTTGAGCTCACTTTGTAGCCCAGGCAGTTCTCAAACTCACAATGATCCTCCTGCCTCAGCCTCCCGAGTGGTGGGATTACAGGCGTGCGCCACCACGCCTGGCCATGAAAAGGTACTTGACAGTTTCCCTCCTTCCTATAGATCCACCTAACCCAGTTATTGTGAAGAAGGGTATATTAACATAAGTGTGTGCCTGTCTTTAGTTCTGCTTCAGATCATAGCTATGCAATAAATACAAAGTCATAATCTGTTATACTGAAATTCGTCAACCAAACGTTAAATGTCTGCACTGCGGTCTCTGATCACTGTCACAAACATAACTGCTTTTTCATTTTGAGACATACGAGAGCTTTACAGCAGAAACACCAGTAAACAACTTTTATACTATTAAAAAAAGAGATGGCATTACCTGTGAAGCATATGTAACGATATCACAAGCTGAGGCTCATTAGTAGTCTGAGAACGGATCAGTTTGCTCTTCGTCTGCGCAGCAACGAGAGTGCCGTCGGACAAGGAGAAGCGATAGATCTGACTGAACGCCAGTCCTTGTCTCAGCACTGCAGGCAAACGGAGCAATGTGTGTTTAGGGAAAAAGAAATCTGACTGGGGCATAATAACAGCAATAAACCTGAGTAACTAAGTTTCATGGTATTTTTCTACCAGCATGTTACAAAAAATTACAACTTCATGACAGTAAAGCATTATAAAAGCACATTTGCTTTTCACTCAAAATATCCACGCATTTAAGAATTACTTTTGTTACAGAAAAGAATAACAGCTTGGCTCTAATTGTGCTCTGAACACTTAAGTACTGGGGCAAAACCACGTAAATGGTTAAAACATCAGGTGAAAGTAAGATTTTCAATGATATAAAATATACCATATAAACAGTATCTCTAAAGAGTACAGCTTGCTTTTGATTTCCCTTACAGTAAAAACATTAAGATAACATCTACGATACTGAATGTGCTCTCTGAATATTCTTCTCGAGTAGCACTGTCCCACCCACCCTCTCACACTCCTTTGCTTCATTGTTTCTCACTCTGTAAGAAGTATTATTTTCCCATGGCTATGACAACGCTAAGTAAAAAACAATCAGGATAGTCTTTCCAGAGAAAAAAAGGCTAAGCAAAACTGTAACAATAAAATACACATTTTACTAATGTATCATTGGTTTATTTTAACTTTTACATAAAGGTCAGACACTTCCATTTTTGAGACAATGAACAAAATACAATATACAGTAACAAACCAATTAGTTTAATGTAATTTCTCTAAAATGTCTTTTTTTGGGTCTTTTTTATTTTGTTTTGAGACTGGGTTTTGCTACATTGTTCAGATTGGCCTCAAAATCATAGTAATTCTCCTGCTTCAACCTTCTCAGTGCTGGGGTTACAGGCACACACGTTCCCATCTGGGTAATTTCTCTAAAAAATCTTGGGATTTATTTTGTCAACCAATGGTATTTTGTAACTGCCTAGTACTGCGTAAAAGAGTATTTCAATTGGGAAAAAATAGCCATGTAATTTAGTTGTCTCTTAAACCATTTTAAAAGGACTACCGTGTTTCTCCTACATTATCCTCAGAACAAATTTTGTGGGCTGAATAGTTAGCCTCAAAGCTCAACGTCAAGCACGTTCACCGTGCCACAAGTGTCACAAACGTAGAGGTGGGGGTGGGGCTGCGGGGAAAGAGAGAACATAAATTCCAGTTTCTTGGTAAAATTTCATTTTGAACAATCTGTTGAATGACTCCCCTCAGGAGTTTCATCTTTTTTTTGGGGGGGGTACCGGAAATCGAACTCATGACCTCAGGCTTGCCAGGCAAGCACTTAAGCCACTGAGCTATACCCTTGGCCCAGGAGTTTCAATCAGGTACTGGACTTGGGTATTACTTTCTACCATCAACTGTTGCATGAAGTTACTGTGAAATGGCAGTAAGCACTGGAAATGAATTACTGTATCCATGTGTGTCTTGCTTTGGACAAGTGTGTACCTAAAAGGCAATGTAAACACAATTTTTATAATAGGATGCACATTCCCAGGGGCTTATGATTTCCAAATTTTGTCTGACCTTGGCATGACCCCTAAGGTTTCCCATTTCTGCTGGTCTCCATTCAGTATCTCTGCTAAGCACCGAGCCACCTAGCAAGCCACCCATTTGTGAAGCCTTTCAGAGACTTCATTCACCGTGAACGGTCATCCCCAGCATCACCTATTTGGCAAGTACGAATGTCTATATGGGTTTCCTTTCAGCCGTCTCATCTGCTTAAACCCTGCACGGTGTCTCGTACATCTGTGCAAACCCATCCGTAAGGAACGAGATGCACGCCCCAGGAACACCGAACATGCTGGCTTACGCAGTTTCTTAGTTTCTGTTGTTATTTATTTCAAGCCAGACACAGTGAAGTGGTAGGATGATTCCTGTTAAACACAGTATCTGTATTTCCTCTTACTCTTTCCAACTTACGTAATGAATTGTTCGATAATGTGCTTAATTTTTAAGAAATAAGGATGAAAAAGAGATGAGGAGAAAGAAGGGAGAAAGTGCTCATTTATTGTGATCTGTGCCCTTCTCTAAGTGATCTGAAGAGCATAAAGTTTAAACGTACAAACCCTACTGGCGAAATGCCAAGGTCACAAATGCACACTGAACGGACGACAAACCACAGCTCCATCTTCAGTGCCCTGGTGACGCAGGGCACTGCTCCGCCGCGCCTCGCTCACACCGCGGGGCCCACGCTGACCAAACGCACACGTCAGGGCACGGAGAAGGAAAGCACCTCCCTCCCCACCAAGCGCTTACAACGCCAAAGCAGTTCTTCTTGGGTCAGACTTCTTTAAAAGAAACCCACAATACACTTAGAAAAAGTGCCTCTGTGCAGAGACTTTTGGGAGCCACTCAGTAAGAGTGACCACCAGGGCGGGCCAAGGGCCGTCCCGAGCCGACGCGGACCGCCGGACAGCCGGCCGCTTTCCCTGCCTCAACGCCCTCGTCCACAAGTAAGGCAGGAGGCGGCTGTGAGGGCCAACAAAATGATGCAAAGGGACAAGGCCACAGCAAGACCAGGCCCTCGACAGGGGCCACACGCACGAGTCCCAAAAGAGGACTCCAAGGCCTGGGCCGGCTCCAGCTGCCTATCAAGTCTAGGACCCGAGATGAGTCACTCACCCCTCTGCAATTTCTGGCAGCATCTGCAGTCTATTAATCACTCGAAGGAGGGCTGGGGACGCTCCTGCTTGCTCCACATGGCTTCGCTCGCGCTCACACATTTTATTTATTCCTATTTCCAGACTTCTCTTATGGACTGCATGCTACTTCTTTAGACAGTGCCTTGTTGCGCTGTCACACATGGCGAAGAAATAGGAACAGACAATGGCTTCCTCCTCGCTCCCTTTCTCCATCATCCTGCTCTGCCTCCTTCACCATGCTGTTCTGACCTACAGGTCTCCTGTACCCTTCCTTCCAATGGCAGCAGTGAGGGCAAAGGGTGAGCACAGAACAGAGAGCCGCCACGCTGTCTCCAAGGGGAGCTCTGGAAGCACCGTGGGACAGAACGCTCTCCCAGGAAAGAGTTACCTACAAAATGCCCTTGAAGAAAAGCTCACCTTCGTGGTGGTGCCTCTTGGCGTACGACACAGACTCCCCTTCGTGCTGTGCGTGGAACTTTTGAATGCACCTTCTCACCAGGTCCTCCCAGCCAGGTTTCATGGCTGCTCTCATGGTACTCGTGTCCAGAGAGGTGATCTTGCCTATGAGAGAGCAGCAGGTATTACACCTACTCCTTTATTCTCTATAGAAAGAATCACAATTTGAAAACATGTACCTTTACTTACTGATTTTTGGTTTTCTGAGACAGGGTTTCGCTATGTAGCCCAGGCTGGCCTCAAACCAGCAGTCATCTTCCTACCTCAGCCTCCTAAGTACTGGGATTACAGGCGTGCGCCACCATGCCGGGCTGCACACATTTATTTAGAATCATACCTCTGTATCTGTGGGCTTTGGCTCTGGAACCCACCTCCCCCGTGGACACCCAAACTCAGGGACAGTCAAGTCCCTTCTACAAAACGGCATCTGCACGTAACTTACACACATTCTCCCGTATACTTCAAATCATCTCTAGATTACTTCTTTTTAAAAATTTTTTATTTTTTTGTCTTTGAGACAAGGTCTCACTAAGCAGCCTTGAGCTCATTCTGTAGCCCAGGCTGGTCTCGAACTCGCAATGATCCTCCTGCCTCAGCCTCCCAAGTGCTGGGATTACCGGTGTGTGCCGCCACGCCTGGCCATTAGATTACTTCTTAATACAATACAAATAGGTATTATACTATGTTACTTAGGAAGTGATGATAAGAAAAAGATCTTATGGATTTCTCCCTCCTGAATACTTTATCTGTGGTTGGCTGGACACGCAGATGCGGAACCCACAGACAGGGAGGTTGGCTGCATTTAGGACAAGGACAAGGCCAGGAACCAGAATGGCATCTGATGAAAACAAGCCTCTCCCGCTCTCTCTGTCCCGCAGCCCCTCAGCACCTCCACCCCAGCAGCAATCACTTCTACCGGTCTTCTCACCGCACCCCCCACAGTTACCTTGGAGGTCCTGCCGAGTGGTGAAGCTTTCTGATGAGGGAAGGGATGGTCTCTCCTTCAGGGGCACTCTTCTCGCCACACAGATCAAGCAGGACTGCAAGTCTTAAACCAAACAAGTTACGTTCACCATGCTGGGCCTTTCCAGTGACTCAGACAGATCTAAGCTTCTCTGACTGCACAGTGTGTCAGCAGGTAGGGAGATGAGGAAAGACGGCATGTTGCTCAGCTTCTTGCTGGCTTCATTCTCCCTCTAACTACAGTGGGAGACGGCTGGACAGCGGGACAGCGTGCTGTGCAGGATGGGCTGGGAGCAGAGCACACAATGCAGTGCTGCAAGCGCATCCATTCCACTGAGCGCCAACCATCAGAGGCCACCTCTCCAGCGAGGAAAAGAACTATCTGCGTTACTAGGTAGCTGAGTAATTTAACTTACAGTGCCCTACAAAAATGATGAAAACTAAAATATGCTATTGTTTGGTTGGGGTTTTCTTCTTGAGTTTTAGGTTCATACGATACAGAAAAACTAATGCGTCTATCAAACTATGTAGGTAGCTCTACACCAACAACGTGACACTAAAAACAAAGACTATAAACTGAGTACGGACCAGATCGAGAGGACAAATCCCACAGCACCTACAAGATGCAGTGTCACCACAGCAGCTGCATTGCAGTTTAGAATTTTGGTCACGGTTAGTTTCTCACATCACCACTGTTAGGGGTTTGCTCTTTACTCCCTGTCGATGACTGTATGCACTGGGGCTCACTTCTGGAGGACGGGGAAGGTCTCATCCGTCTCCGTAACATGCAGAGCACACTGCGCAGCATGTTCAACTTAAAAAAGACACGAAAGGCTGCTAAAATGAATAGAGTCATCGTTTCGTATCTTCTTATGTCACTGATTTATGATCGTTCCCCTTTAAACTGGAGGACTTTCTTGAAATATATCCAGTAATAGTTGGTGTTTCAAAATTAAAGTGCAATCGGGGCTGGGGATTTAGCTCAGCGGCAAAAGCGCCTGCCTGGCAAGCGCAAGGTCATGAGTTCGGTTCCCGGTACCGGAGAAAAACCAAAAAAAAAAAAAAAAAAAAAATTAAAGTGCAATCCTCACTACGGGTGGGGTGTGGCTCAGTGGTGGCTCGAGGGCTTGGCATGCACGACCTTGGTGTTTCCAGGACGAAGCCCAGGATGTTCCTCTCCATTAGTGAGCACTACCTCTTTTCCCTCTGCTTTGCACGCAAAACGTCCTCTTCCACGCTGTCCTGCACTACACAGAGTGACTTCGGCTGTATGGACCGGCTTTCGTGGAGGCACTAATCAGGACATCTTTCTGGGGAATAGTTTAGTAAGCTTGTACAGTTTGAAGCCCCTCCATTTCTCTTAATTACCATTCTACTACAGTGCACTGTGGACCAGCAGGCATGAGTAAACTTAAAAGTATATGAAAAATGTTGTTTGTGCCTATGTGCAAAAATTTCTAGGATTGTGGCACATGGTTTGCACTGCATATTCAAAGGGACCCAGGGACCCCTAAATATTTAATCACTATTAGAGCTGCACTGGTACAGCACTCACTAGCTATTTAGTAGACATAACTTCAGCCCCTTGAGGCGCTATTGACATTCCACACTGGATGCCGTGCTGGATACTACATGGGTCACTTCTGTAACCCCAGCAAATTTTATTGGACATCACATTTCTATATACTCAGACTGATTTTATCACAAAAAATAGCAAATACTGAAAAGAACAGAGAAATGGGTTCTGAATCTTTCTGTGTGTGATCACCAGTTTTAGGATAATCACATGTGCAAGAAGCCGCACAGGAGTACACACAGACACGTACGAGGCCCTAGGTCTGGTCTCACCTTCTCCTTCCTCTTTGATGGACTTTGGTTGAGAGACAGCAAAGCACTGCATAGTTTCGTATTTCTGATGTGCTTCCTGGTTCTCGTGACCTTCCTCTTCTGATTCGGGTAAAGGTTTTACCAGCATCCGACAGTTGAAAGTATGGCTGTTCCGCCTGGGAGGCTCTCCGGACCAAGATCCCCCGTTCACTAACAAGGCAAAAGTAATCCAGTATTATAAGGAAACCAACACCAGATTCCCTGCTGCTGAATTATGAAAAGGGCGTAGAAAAATGTGGTTACTTTACTTTTACAAAGTGCTTTATACTTTTCTAAATATTTTCATGATCTAGAGGGGAAAATATTCTTAACAGTTTAGCAACTTGGGAACATTCTTGAGATTTTCAAAAAGTCTTTCTATACCTCTTGCTCTTCTCCCAGACTGCTTCCCTCAAGTTCTCGCCTTGATTATTTGTTACTAGAATACCAGTTTCTATTTTGGGGTTTTCTATCTTTGACTTGGAAATTTAGCTCAATCTAATTGCATTCTAGTTTTAGATGTGTGACCCCCTACTCAAAACTCTGTAAATGGCACCAACTGTCAAGTGCTTCAAATTCTTCTAAAGGACTTGGACTTAATGTAGTCCAGAGCACAAAGCCCATTTCAACATCTAAATCACAAGCGCACGAGCCCATTTCATCTGTCTAAGCAGAGCTTTCACATTCCCCAGTTCAAGCCTCTCTGTACCCGACCCCAGTCCCCACGGGTACATATGTCCCTGCTGCAACCTGACCTAAAATAGAGGCTGGTGTTCTTTCTCCTTCCGAAGGTACTCGCACTATAGGGCCGAGAGCCTCCGCAGGAACACTCAGGCACCTCTACTGCCTCCTCTTACAGATGTTTCTTTACTAATGTCTTAGAGACATTATACTGTATGCTCTATAACCTGGCTGTTCCTGAGTTACTCCACTGCAGTCTTTCTTAACTGGTTCATGTATACTTACTTCCTCAGTACAACTGAAAAACCCTGGAAGACACAGTGTTGTCATTTATTTCAAGTAAAAAACTACTTCATACACCTTCTACTTTTTTTTTTTTTTTTTTTTTTTGAGACAGTCTCACTATACAGTATAGACTGGTCTTGAATTCACTTTGTAACCCAGGTTGGCCTTGAACTCACAATGATCCCCCTGCCTCAGCCTCCCAAGTACTGGGATTCTGTACAGGCATGTACCACCATGCCCAGCCCACATCTTCTACTTACCGATACCAAAACTAAAAGATGTACATATCATGCAAAAAAGATACTAAGCTAAATGAAAGACCTCAATTTTTTTGAGATACTTTAGAGAAAATGAAAGATAGGAAAGAATGACTGATTCTGGGTACTAAAATGTACTTCTAAGCCAGACGAGAAACTGATCCTCAAGGAAGCTACTAGAAGAGCTGTGCTCACAATCAGTTTTAACTTTCTTTTTGCTGTTCTCTTTACTCTTCCATATATAAAAATACTGGGACTGGTGGGACGATGAAACAGGATGAAAAAAAAGTAACCCATTTAGACAAGCAAATGTACCCCCAAAGTTACGAGTCAGGGAACAGTGAAAAGGACAGGAGGCGCCACAGGAGCCCCGCGCTAAACCCGTGACCATTAGGCTGCAGAGGATGAGAACGGAAAGAAGCCCTAGACAGAAGAGCAGTGAACACCCAGCCAACTGTAACAGATACTTTCAAACTGCAGAAGGCACCACAGCTGGCTTTCTGTGTCTCTCAGACATTCAGAAAGTTTACTCCACTATCAACACCTTGTAAAAACTTATGTACATAATGGAGACTATAAAGAGCAAAGAAGAAAGAAAAGTAGTTCCTATTCAGGTTAATAAGGCAGCTGACAGTTTAAAATCTTTACACAAGTGAATTAATAAGTATAGATCCTTTGAGGAAGTCATGAAATTACTGAAGAGATCTAAAAATATTGCTTTAAATAAGACATCCCTTTTCTTATTCATTTACTAGAGAAGATAATAAAGGAGCCACACCAGAATGCACACATCTTGCATTACCTTTGCGATTTCTTTGAAGAAAGGGTTACCCTATCGAGGAGAAGCTAGCACAATGCAACTTGGAAAGGGCCTTCACCTATTTACAGTGCTAACAATTAGAGCTGGTAACAGAAATCATTTTAAGAAAAAGAACAGAAATACTTGACAACTTAGGACCTGACCTCATTCTGAATTAAAACACGCACTTCTTTCATCTGTGAAGATGTTCTCAGCACCCTCAGTTTAAGTGAGAATATTAAAAAAAGAACCGCTGAGTAAGTGGGAACAGCAGTATTCTCAGGCAGCAGCTCAGGTGGGCTCACGCTGCGAGTCACCCGCTTTGGAACGCGGCCCCGTCATCACACACTTCCAGCTGCAACTCCCAAGGCGAGGAAGCCGGCAGTCTGCGGCAGGCTGCACGGGCCAAGGAGGCAGCGCGCGTCAGAGCCCCTCCAGGCTCCGGCACGAATGCCACCCTTTGGGGCCGCAGGGCCGACACGTGGGAAACCTCTTTATGCTGCTCTGCTCTTAGCGCTCAAATGTGGAGCACATGGACACCACACCTTCACAGGTGGGACTCAAACGGAGCTGTCTCCAGCTTCTCATAGCCTCCTATTTTTCTGTTATGAAGAAAAGACTGGACAGATCTGAGCTGGCACTGGATGGGTGAGGCAGTTTGTTATCTTCTTAAAAAACAACAGAAACAGATCCATGAAAACAGCTGCAACAGATACTTTTCTGAACACTTTTCATATACTTCAACTGCAGTTTATGATCAAAATGATCGTTCAAGACCAGTTCTAAGCTTAAGTACTCAGCACAAGAGCCTCGCAGAAAACCACCCAGTGTCTCTTGCTCCCAACTGATACAATGCAGCCCCCTGCCCCTTGGGGAAACAGGGTCTTTCTATGTAGTTCAGGCTGGCCCTGAATTTGCAGTAGTCCTGACTGCCTCAGCCTCCCAAGTGCTGGGATTACAGGCATGTGCCACCATACCCAGCTTATAATGCAGTTTTATCCACTCTAATGAGACAATGTGTGTGAATGGGGTGGGGAGAAGGAGCAGGCCCAGCAGACAATCATTTACCTATAGACTTTGGCAGCAGGTTTTTGACAAATTCAGTGTGGTCCCCAACATGCAGGATGCTATATACACTTTTGTTCATCAGCTCTTCTTGGTTATACCTTAGATACTGTGTCACATTCTCTGAAACAAACACCACGTTGCCTTCCAGGTTCACTACAAAGAAGAACCCGTCCAGGGCCTAAAGGAAAAGATAGAAACTGCTTTAGCAAGAACACAGCATAAAATTACACACAGCTGTTAAGGAGGGAGTGAGCCCTCGAAGGCAAACCCTTAGGTCACAGGTGGATGGGACAGAGGCCTCTCAGGAAGTAGGGATTGCTCCATCTCAGCGGGACAGAGGCTAGAGCAGGGTTTCTTGTCACAACTTAAACGACAAGTACTGTTAACACATCAGGGGACCCTTCCTGCCAAATAAAGCGTCCTGGGGTTTATCTGTATTTTCAAAAGGAGACTGGTGTACCTCACAGGGTTAAAAACAACTTTCATGTTGGCTACCAACCCAATACATAAGACATTTTGTTCTACAGTTTTTCATGTCATACGTGGGAGGAAGAGGTCAGTGGCCATTTGTTTTCAGTTTAAAAGTATGAATCAAGGGAAAATAGACCCTCAATTTTATTACTTTTAAAGCTGCAGATGATATTAGATGATAAAGAAACATCAGTCCTTTATTGTTTGACGTGTATAGGATTGAGATACAGTTCCTAGATTACCTATATAATGGGAGGGTGCTTCCCATAACACATCACTTCAATCTACTTCAGGGAAGAGACAAAGAATCTAAGGTCTTTTCAGGAAGTAAACATAATAGTTATATATTGTGCCTGTAATATATCACACCATTCCAACATTTACAACTCTGGACGGAATCTTTGTTTGTTTATTTGTTGGTTGGTTGCTTTTTTGAGACAGGGTCTTGGTACGTAGTTCAGGATGGCCTTAAACTATGTAGCCCAGGTTGACCTCGAATTCACAGTGATCCTCTCGCCTTAGCCTCCCAAATGTTGGGATTACAGGTATATATCACCACACCCAGCTATCTTTCCCAATCTAAAGAAGAGAAAATGGGGGCTCAGAAAGGTTAGGTGACTGACTGCCCAAGATCTTATAACCAGTCAATGGCAGAGTTGGAACTGGAATCCAGACAGACACCATTCTGAAGGTCAAGCGTCCACTTTCTGAGCAGCAGCTGCTCTCCTCTGACACTCCCGCGGCCCATCACATCTGCATCGGTGATGGGAAGGCTGGGGCTTGGTGCGTCTCTCCCGGTCACACTGCCCCACTTCCCGTTTCCGACTGCTGCTGATCAGGGCTCTGCTTTAGGGATCAGGTGAATGATCAAGACTAGAAAAGGCCTGATGTGATCAGGGCCACCTGGCCTAGTCCACTTACGCCAACTGGCTTCTTTATGGTATGCACTGATTACTGCCTTTAACGTAACTATGGGCATGGATAGGGCCTTAAGTGTTTGTTTTCTTTCAAGTTTGTTTTTTCTTTATTATTTAACAGATAATTTTGTGAGTAATCTTTAAATAAATTCCACCTTTACATCTATTTTCATCAGAAAACTAAGTGCTCCCTCAAACTGTTAAGTGACATAAGATAACCAGTGAAAAGTTATTTTATGTTTTTCTTAAATATTCTGTCAGGTTTCCTCACAGTAGGCTGGTACTAACCCTTGAGAACTGTGTGTACATGTGTGCCCTGGCAGGGGGCCAGGAAGGCAGCCAGCTCATTAGTTATGTACCATGTACCCCTTTTACACTCACTGTGGTAGATACACATTCAACAGGGATTTTCATAATTATATTACCTATGGTTCACTTTTGAAAGTACACACTGCTATCCACCGCTCAGCAAAAGGATTGGTTTGTGGCCTAATAAAACTGAAAGATGAAATTGTTTCATCTCATAAAGCTGTGTTTTTTTAAAGCTCACTATGATACGCTCTGATGAAAAAGCTGACATTTTGTTCTGTTGCCTAGCAACCACTATGCTGTGATGTAAGCATGAGTGTGCATCTATGCCTAGGAACAGCTCCACAAGATGCATTTTCTGTTTAAACGATCTCATGTAAACAGGGAATTCAAGCCATAAGTCATTAGATTCAAACACTACTTTAACACTGAGCACTAAAGTTCTACTACATAGCCACTCGCTCAGTGCACTGAACTCTGATCTCACTGTGAAACAGAAAAAAACACTGATCTGATTTTACGCGTAGGTCCACTGACAACTAGCATGCTGATTTTCTACCATCAGTAAGCCCAGTCTCAAAGGGCTTGTGGTTACTCCAAGCGTTTCTTTTTAGAAGTCTCAAAAGTCTTCCCAAGAGTTTCTACTCTAATATTTCCCACCAGAAATAACGAATAAACACAGGCATATAAAAATTTCCCAAATGTAACTATTTAGTTTACTCTAATTTTCAAATCAACTTTGTTTCTAATTGTAAAGTTTTTTCAAAGGACATGACCCACTTCCTTTCATGTAATTCTAAACAGTCCACCTAGTTATAGTCCTCATTATCTGCTTCTAAGAACCAAGCGGGAAGGAGTATTCTCCAGTCTTTCACTGTCTCTATGAGTATGGAAAATCAGGTTAAATGTGTTTTTATTTCTTCCCTGGAAATTGTGGTTGAATGTTTTTAAGCCAGTGATTCAAAAGAAGATAAACAACTACTAACACCAGGTCACTTAAAGGCTTTTGGCCAGCAGGTCCAGCCCTGGGGAATAAATTCTGTCACTGTAAATACAAAGACTGGGTCATATGATCTTTAATCTTCTCTCTCCTACCTACTGCCCCCAATTATATGGTACATTTTCATAGAATTAGATTTTCTAAAAATAAAAATCATATTATGCACCAACTAAGAAAAGGTGGCAGTAAGGTCAAGAGAGAAGGGGTTACCTTTGTTTTAAAAATCGTAATTTCTTATATATGTGTGGTAGCTGCAGTACGCTTCTGATATAATGACAGCGCTGTAAGCTCTGGCCATGCGGTATTTTTCAACCCCATCATATTATCAGCAAAGGAAATTATCTTGAGAACTGACATAATTTATGTCTCAAGGTTCCTCTGTTTCTTGTTATATTCACTGACATTTTTTTCTGGATTCTCCTATAGCCTACATCTTGAATTTTAATTTTGGAACAGGAATAGCAAAACACTTGGTGTTTAGTGCTTGTTAATAAAACAGGAAAACTGGATGTTACAAATTCTAAGCTGTAGCTGGCCATACAGCCCCCAAAGGTAATGAAGAGGCCTCAAGACCAACCACTGCACTATGCGCATCTTGGCAGTTCCTTCCGCTTATTCTTGCAGTTTTTATTTTTATGAGATAAATAAGCTAGTCTGAAGTAGCATACACAAAAAGCAGAAGCCTCTTCTTTGTTTCTAAAATTTTAACCTGTACACACAGGCAGAGGTACACGGCATACATAAAATTTAAAACTTTGAAGAACATACCAAACTAAAATATACTGCAGCATTTAACAGCACTTGTGAATATAATTTTCTCAAATAAATGCTCAACTGTCAATTAAAACCTATCAACATATTCTCAGCTGGTTAACAATTCTACACTGTTTCAAACAAACATGCTAGTAGCAGGCGTCAGAACATACACCGAGAACATATATACATGTTAGTAAGCTCAAGAGGTCTGTAATACAGTACTCATGTGGGCTCTTCTTAAATTATATTCACTTGCAATTAACAGCATGTGAAGATCAACAACAATTTGGAACACAGAACCAAAATGAAGGTGTGCTACCTCAAGCATCATGGGCCCCAGCGCATCCTTGTCGATGACACCCTGCCCTGTGGACGATACATCTGACTTCTGCACTTCATCTATGTTGGCAGCTGCTGCTTTCTCTGTAACAAATATAAGTGTGAATGAAATGGTTGTGCTATTTCAAGGGCAAAGTGACACAGAAATATTTTTACTGTAATGATTTGTAGAACTTTCTGGTGGAATCAGATCTGACTATAAAACACAGAACATCCCCACTGACCCTGAGCAGGAGAAAAGGCTGGAAGCAGGAACCAGATATTAACTTTTCACCTCCAGAACCTGTGGCCCGATCTCCTTTCGGGCTGCGGAGTAAATGAGTTTAGAGATTTCTTGCTAGTCCCTGACAGGCATTTTTGCACATTACGAAACCGCTATATACTATGGCACAATTAGTTTCTACTCAAGAGAGTCCCAAAACTAGGATAAAGAAGGGCCTGTTGTTTAGAATTCAGGAGCATAATCAGAGATAAATTTGCACATATTTGACAAAGAATATCAAGAAGTCCTGACCTGCCTAACACTCTACAGTGTTTGCCTGGACTCTTTTTTTTTTTTTTTGAGACAGGGCCTCACTACGCAGTTCAGGCTGGCCTTGAGCTGACTTTGTAGCCCAGGCTGGTCTCAACTCGCAACGATCCTCCTGTCTCAGCCTCCCGAATGTAGGGATCACAGGTGTGCCCTACCACGCTGGGTGTTTGCCTGGACTCTTAACTGTTTCACTTTTGCTCACATCTACATTTAAACTGATCAGGAAAGATCTGATACCTAACTTATTCAAAGGGCACAGGATTTGAAGTACAGGGAAAAGACACCTTGTCAGGTACCGAGAATGTCCTTTGATCTAGTATGCAGGTGTATGACATGTGCTCCCAGACTGAGACTGGCAAGGCTGGCGAGGCCCACCACGCCAGGTAACATCCAACACAGATGAGACTATCTGAGGAAAAAGCTCCAGGAGAAAAAGATGCATATTTATCAATATATGTGTGAGCTAGTTATTTCAAGAACACCAAAAAAAGTTTAAGGTGTAACCAATACATATCAACAACCTGCTAGAGAACAACACAAAAAAGTGCCAATTTATTACTTCTGAATAAATTAGACCCTTGTTTACACTGAATGTTATCGTAATTTAATGGGAAAAAAAAAAATCCAAAACCAAAACCAACTAACTATAACTCAATTCAGTGCTTATAATCAGCTGCTTTCAGGACTTTTGTGAAATTTTTCTTTAAAGATTTTTATGCAGTATTTGAAAAATTTGCAAGGCTAATTTATGAAACCTAAAAAGTAATTAGCAATCATCGCGGTCCTCCCAATCTTGCCACTCCCACCCACGCTGGGACCTTCTGTGCCGCGCACATTTCAGCGGACTGGGAAGCGACCTGCCCAGTTCAGGTTCACGCTCAGCCCCTTAGTGCAGGCAGGACTCCAAGCGAGCCCCTTCTCAGGCTTCAGTTCCCTCTCCTGCCTTCTGCACATCACAGACCAGACCAAGAATCATCGGAATGATATGTAAAGTACACTTTAAAGACGATAAAATCGCAGATGTAACTTACTGCTAGCATATACTCTTTGCACTCATTAATTCTTCTGTACTAAGTTCCGTATGTAATTTTTCTTGCGGAGCTTTTCACAAGCAGACTACATCTCGTTTTTCAATTACTCCATTACCTCCCTGAATCATCAACTCTTCAGAGGTAAGAAATTGTGACCACTTATACATAGAGGAATGGCAGCTTCTGTAACTCAACAGCGTGCAGACTCCCCTGTTATCAGGCCCTTAATGCCAGCTCTCTACAGGCTCGATCACATCCAAATTTCCCAGCTGGTTGTTCAAGTGGGAAGCAAGGTAGGCTCGCCAGCCACAGGGCACAGAACCGGCTCAGACAATCACTGATCAGGATCTTTCTGTTGCTAAAGTAAATGTACCCTAGGGCATGGTTTCTGTCCTTTTGCAAGTTTACTCTGTAAGCTGTAGATTTCTCCTCCGGTTCTGCGCACTATCCTACCCGTCAGGAAAGGGACAGGACATGTACCATCACCTGCTCCCTCATCTAGTTTTCAGGGAACACTGTGCTAAAGAGCTTCCTGGATTTACCTCATGCACCACAGCCCACCCACACTGCTCTGTGGAACCCCTGGACTGAACGGGGCTCCAGTACCCCGCTTAAGGGCCCTGCATCATGCGGGCCATAACCTGCCCCAGATTGAAGGCTCTGCGAGCTTAATACGAAATCTCAAAACCCAGGTACTATATATTAGGGACTGATGAGGCCCTCTGTACTCTTATTTCTGTTGTGTCTTCAGCACAGAGGAGCAAGGTGCTGACATCCCAAGGATGAGGGGCCTGCAGCCTTTGCTCTGTCTCTCTGCTGTCCACGGAGTACGTTCTCTTCCCACAACATTCAGAAGCAGCACCAACAATTCTCAAGTCTGTAATGCAGATGAAAAGCCTTCCCTGAGTAACAGCTTGGCTCCTTCCTAGCGGGTACTCTCATCCTCTTCTCAGCGCTGCCCCTAGTTCAGAGTTTCCTTTTTTACTTTTTTCCTAGTTCAGAGTTTTCTAGAAATATTTGGTGGCTGGCTGACTGACTACACACCCAACTGGCACTCGAGCCCAGAAGTGTAGGAGCAGGTGAAGCCGTACAGTCGAAGCGTGTGAGGCCTGGGTTCAGGCCCAGCTCCACAAGGAGGAAGAACAAAGATCAAGTAAAAGAATGAGAAAGGAAATTTTAAAAATGGAAATTAACAATGCTGGGAGAGAGATGAAATAACAGCTGCTCGTCCAACGCCAACTCTGCACCTATTACTGACTGCTAGAAAACTGCAAACTATTGTCACACAAGATTCTGATATCACAGTAGTAGCAAATTATAGTTTTCTGTGGTGTCTACAGAAATGCTGCACTTTAGGGTAAATACAAAATGTTGTTTGTGATAATAATTCACTTAGGGCTGTTGTCAAGTCAGTCTCTAGGCTTTGTGAGACTCTGAGGATCTGATCATCTTTTTGAGGACCTATGTTCATCTATTTATATCTTTGAAAGATCAAAAACACTTTTGCTAAGATCACCCAGTCAGGAAGGTTCCTCAACACTGCTTAGTAGTTGAGTCTGGACATTCTAAATACTTTAGCAACATGCTCAGGCAAAGATTTTGTGACTTTTATCAGAAAATATACAGAATCAGGACCAAATTGGCATGTTTCATTATTGGGAATTTACACATCCGATATAATATTGGTTAAGAGTCTAAAATCTACATTAAGAGATAATTTAGATCTGATATAACACGTTTGTGGGGGAACTACTGGAAAGGCTGAATAACAAGAATTTTCACCCTGAAAAATCATGTATCACGACAAATATATTGTTTTTTTCCCGAGCTTATAATATTCAACTGATAAATCCTTTTTAGAAAAGCAGCAGCTGACAGCAGTTAACAGGACGAGCAGCCTATCTAAGCCTTGTGCAGAGAGGAGCGTGGCTTTGGGGGGCATCAGTGGTCACTGAGCGTGTAGCTGATGGAAGCTCAGTGAACTATCTTTGTCACCTGTGAGCTCATGCTTTTTTTTTGAGACAAGGTCTCGCTATGCAGTTCAGCTTGGCCTTGAACTCACTTTGTAGCCCAGGCTGGTCTTGAACCCACAGTGATCCTTCTGCCTCAGCCTCCTGAGTGCTGGGATTATAGGTATGCGCCACCATGCCCGGTGAAAACTCATGCTTTAGCCAGGAGGGTAAAAGAATTCAATGAACCAATGAAAACAACAAAGGGCTGTAACCTGCTAGGAATGAACCTGAAGCTCAAAGAAGAAAGACAGCCCGACAGCAGAAAATATTCACAAACTCAGTGCATTCTGCAGGACAGACAAGAGGATGGCAGCAAAAAGGCAGGGACCACGCGTCTGCGGCCCTGGACCACTAGGAGTCTTAGTGTGGGCCCGAGGGTACACTCAGGAGTACTAGCCAGAAGCTCTCGCCTAAGCTGGAGCTCTACCGACTTCTTACTGAAAATGAAACAACAAACCCTTCACGAGATCAATTTGAAATTATTTTAGGGGAACGTGTAACTTGAAAGAAAGCCCCAAGTGAGTCTCTAAGATTAATTTCGGGAGGACTCTAACCAGTTGCAATGCTCACACAAATGCAGTGTACGCGTATTAAGAGTGGGCAATTTCCAGCATTTGCGACTAAACAAGCAAGAGCCGCAGGGCGAGGACTCAGGCTCCTCACTCCCGCCCGCACAGGATGTCTGGGATGTATGTATTTTCTAGCCAATCTGTCACCTAGTTTTCAATTCTGTATTGAATTTGTGCTTTGGCCATGTCTCATTATCAGAAAAGAAAAACATCAATAACATGAAGTGATAGAAAATACCCAGAAATAAGGTTTTACCAATGTAACTAGAATGTAAGTGAAATAGACCCTGAATTTATGTTATCTGGGTAGTTTTCATGAAGTGACTACCACCCCTGCTCAACGCTCAGCTGAGCCTTGAAATTAAACAGGAGGTGGAAGGGAGAAGGAAGAAGAGACAGACAGATACACTGTTTTGCTAACCAGACATATACTGGTATTTTATTTTTATAATACACTGGTTATCTTGACAGAGGATTTCAGTAATGAGTATCCTATTTTTGTGTGGCAGATAAAAATAAGTTTAAATCCTTAGATATATTTATCCTTCTGTAAGTACAGCATAACTATACTAAAACACTATTTTAATATTTTTAAATTAGGCAATTTTCTCAGCGGTCACAAACTATATTTAGTTTTCTATATTTTGCATCCATTAACCATAAAAATATATTCTGTTATAAAAATATCCTTCAGGAAAGTCAACAGCAGAAAGCTAGTCCCCAAGTTTCGTATGATCACAACCTTACAGAATCTCATTACTGCAGAAGGAGCTCTGACACCGAGGAAGGAGATGCTAAACTCTACTGTTCAGAGCCTAAGGGAAGAGCTGTCTCCGTGCCTTGACTACAGCACATCTGCCTGCTGTGCTTTAACCACTAAAGTTGTTCTTTTCAATATGACCGAAAAGAACAATGACAATAATAATTCTTTTTCTTCTTT